AATGAAGGGCGCTTCCTAGTTGTCGTGGATGTGCGATATTCACATTCATATTCACCCTGGTGTTCTTGGTGCAAATCAGCCTGGGAGGGGCGGACGCCAGAGAGGAGGGAGGGCGAGGAGTGAGCGCTGGGATGCACTGCTCACGGGCACACACACATGCACACTCATACACGCGTGCAGTACACTCACACTACACCTACACTGTATGGACACATGGACACACACTCATTTACACGCACGTGCACTCAGTCACACTCACACACACATGCGCAAACACGCCCCACAGTCACAGAATCACCTCGGGGCAGAGGTTCTGCAGCAAGACTAAAGCACCAGCAGAATGCAGGCCTGGAGACACCCCCCAGGGAGCCCCAAAGACCCACAGCCACATGTCACTTCCAGCGGAGTCCTGGGGCTCTGAAGTCCTCTCGGCTACTCGACGTCCCTGTCAGTCTGAGGGGCAGGCTGCAGCAGAGTCTCCAGAACAGGGTCCATCTGCCCTGGGGAGCCCACCTGTGTGATGGGGCAGCCCTCACAGCACCCGCAGGAGGCCCTGCTCCCCCACAACACCCCAGGACATGCTGACTGCTTCCCCTGGAGCTGCAGGTGCTCAGGCTTGGCTCGGGGCACCTCAGTGCTCACCCCAGGGGCTCTGCAGAAGCAGGAGCTTCCCAAGAAGGCACCCTTGCTCCTTTGGGGTCACAGAGACATTCTCAGCAATTAAAGGCTTATGCAAACAAACCACTCCAAGGGCGTGGAGGGCCAGTGCGGACCCACCACACCAGCGGGGACCCACCATGCCAGCAGGGACCCACCATGCCAGCGGGCATCCGGAGGCTGGCCTTAGGCACTTCCCAGTCTCCGGTCTCCAGAGCCCCAGAGCCGGCGCCAACCTCTTCTCTCCGGCTCTCTGCTGCCTCCATGTGGTTCGCTTGAAAAGGGCAGCACAGGAAAGCCCCTTTGAGACAAGCACCTTCCCCTGCACCCACCCAGCCCCAAGGCCCCCGCCCCCGCCCAGGCCGTCCCCAAATGTTCAGCCCCAGCCTTGCAACCTGGAAATTGAGCAAGGCTCCGCGTCCCCAACCTCCGGACACGGCGTGAGTTACATCCTGCGCTGAGGAGGCTCCCCAGCCCAGGGCCGCCCCCGCCTGCTTCCCTCCTTTCCCCTCAGCTCCCCACCCAGGCCTTGCCAGCGGGCAGGAAGGAAGCTGCTCATAGTGGGGAGGGTGGGGCACTTCCAGCTCACACCGAACAACCCCCGGTTGGACTATAAAGAGTCAGGGCCTTCCGCTCAGTCACCAGCCACTGTGGAGTGCCCCCACCCCCAGCAACCCCACACCCAGGGGCCCGGCCCTCCCTCCACCACGGTCAGGGCATCCCACCCCAGGCCTGGCACAGTCTGCTCCGAGAGGGAAGGCAGGAGCCAGGCTTACCACCTTCTGAGGGAGCAGGCGGAGCCCGGGACAGCACCCTTGCTCGCCAGAGCCTCAGAGCCAGTGAGGTGGCACGCAGCCTGGCCTCCCCCACGGCGGAAAACAGCCTTTCTCAGGGGCCCCGAGGCTGCGACCCCAGAGGATCTCCAAAGCCCCTTCCAGCTTGTACTCTCACAATTTAAAATTAAAATGGGGCCTCCCTGGTGGCGCAGCGGTTGAGCACTGGGCTGTGAAGCTGCCCGCAGCCTCTGCAGCGCCAGTTCGATCCCCGGCCACCGGACGAGGGTCCCACATGGCGCGCAGACCTCTCCTGCCGCCCGCTGCTCCCCTCAGCAGTGTACTTCGGCCCTTCTGCCTGTTCTGTTCCCTGCTCTGGCTCTGGTGAATCCTCTCACCCTCCCGCACTTCTGACTGTACCCAGTGCTTGTATAAATAAATAAATAAATCTTAAAAAAAAAAAAAAGATTGTGGGTTTTAAAAATAAATAAATGAATAAAATTAAAATGATTTCCTATGGATGGATTTTCAATACTGCAGGTCTTGAAATTTCGGTGGGGCCCAGAAATCATTCTTGAAATTGCGGTCTGTGACCAGAGCAGCCAGCCAGTAAGACGCACAGGTGTGCTCTGTCCCAGGGGCAGCCGGCAAGAGGGAGGCAGAGAGACCAGGACTGGGCAGAGTCCTGGGGGAGCAAGAGACTCCTGTCCAGGTGCAGGGGAGTCTAAACCTGGCAGGATTGCCAGGGGCCGGGATGGACAGTCCCTGGGCTGTGCCGGGACACACGGGGTGAAGCTGGCCTATCCCGGGCAGAGGGAGAAGGAAAGCGTCTACCTCCAGCCCGGCCTCTATGGACTGCCTCTCCTCTGCCTAGCCTTGCCGGGCTCCCCTGCCAGATCAGACGCCCATTCGGATCTGCCTGCCCCTCTTTCTCCCTGTACCCCCACCCTCACCATCGGAGTGGCCAAACTACTTGGGACGCAACCACCCTTGTGCCTGAAGAATGTCTGCTCTTGCACCCACCACCTTTCACCCTCGACCCCTTGCTTTTGCCCACCAGGCCCATCTGATCTCAGCTGACTCCCTTCTCGGAGTCCGTTCTCCATGGCTCTCCACACTCCTGGACACAGCTTCGGGCCCCCAGGGGGCCGTTGCAGCTAAACAAGCCATTGAGTCACCCCGTATGCACAGGGGACCCAGGCCTGGCAGCACCCAGAGGAGCAGAGCCAGCCTGGGCTCTGCCAGGGCACAAGTTGACTGGGGAGAGAAATCACAGGTGGGAAGCCAGAGCCCCAGGACCACCCGGGGCCACCAGAGGAGAGGAGTCCCGGGCCTGATAGCAGGTGACACAGAGTGGCCTAGAGGATGCTGCGGGGGCACGGACGGTGTGGGGCCGGGTTCCGAGGAGCACACCAAGCAGGAATGAGAAGCAAAGAGACTGACAGAGCAGTGCCTGCAGGCGGGCAGGAGGCAGAAGTCTCTGGAACTGAGGCTTCTCAGTTGTCAGCAGGTCTGACACTGGTGACAGGAGGAGGGAAGAAAGTCTCAGGCCACAGTGAACCTCAAGATCTCACCAGGCCTGTGAGCACACCACAGAAAGACGCTGTGGAGAGACGGGCTGGACAGGAGCGGTGAGCCGCACGCCTACAGCACAGGCCCTGCAGCTCCGGGAGCACGTGGCCTTGGACTGACGGCTGGCCCGGCTCCGGGGCTCTGGCTGCTGCCCGCACACGCCTGAAGCAAGAAGGCCAGCAGGACCCTCCAGAGTGGCCACGGTTGGCCCGGGAGGAAGGGAACGAACGATTTTCTCCAACCAGAAGGCAAAGGAGAGGCAGCCCGGGCGGCCTCAGCCCAAAAGCAGGAAAATGCAGGGGTGTGAGGGAACCCGTGAGGAAGCCCGCTGGCCTAGAACCCAGGGTGTGAGCCGCACATCGAGGGCTGGGCCAGCATGCCAGAGTGGCCTTGGCCTTGGGTAGAAGGTTTCAGGGTGAGCCAAAGCATGAGGTAAGCCCCGCTTCTGAGATGACTCTGGCAGCAGTGTGGACTGCAGAGGGGCTGGGGGCGGCCTGGGGTGAGGAGGCCACAGGGCGGGGCTCTGGGAAGAGGTGCCAGCCAGCGGGGGGAGGGGGCTTGGCATCGGGAGTCTATGGTCACCTGCCCGAGGAGGCCTGCCCCCAGCTCCACGCCCCGCAATCTGTAACAGGAATTATTCTTGGCCATGTGCTATCAGATGGCGGCTGAATGGAACCAGAAATGGGGTCTGTGCGCCCCGCCATTGTGGGTGAGAATGTCTGAGCCTAGATCCCACCTGTGGCCTCTCTGGCCTGAGCCCCCCCCCCCACCTGCCCTTTGTTGAGGGAGGACGCAAAGCTCCCCAGGTGGCCGGGCACTCGGGCTCCCGCCCCCCCACTGCCTCCACAGCCTGACGCAGAGCTCCCAGCACAGCCTGTTCCTTCCTCAGACCCGCCTGCCCCCAACCCAGGCCCACCCCAACCCTCTCCTCCACGGCTTTACAAGGGAGTCCGGCCAACACAAATCTCCGTGTTTGTTTGTCTGCCTCTCCCAGCCGCTGCCCTTCCGCCTCTCCACGTCCGCTTCTTTCTCGAAGTTTCTCTTAGTCTCTGCAGCCTCAAATCTGTGAGGTCTGGCCCTCTGCAGTCCCAGATGCCCGACTCCAGGCCTTTCCTCACCCCCCCCCCAGGGCTGGGAACTACAAACCCCAGCAGGCACTCCCGCCTGCGGTGCCTGGAGAGAGCTGATGTGCGCCACCGGCATTCTGGGAGTTGTAGTTTCCCCAGCCCCGTGCCCCTGCTAGGACGCCCAGAGCGCCCAGTGGGCCGCGCTGCCCGCCTGACGCCGGGTCTGTGCGCTGACCGGCCTCCCCCAGGGAAGCGTGCGTCACTGGCTGACAGGGTGGGGGCGGAGGCCCAGGATGGCAGCTTCCTGCTCTTTTGTGTCCCCCACTTGAGTCATGGGGGCGGGGGTTCCAGGAAATTGGGACTGGGAGGGGAAGGGGTACCCTAATGCCAGACCCAAGGACAAAGGGTCACTGCGCCTGGCTGGGCCTGTTTCCCCAAGACTCCAAAAGGGTTTGAAGGCAGGGGCCAGGAGCACGCACATGGGGGGAGGCGGCGAAGGAGAATGCCTAGACCGCCCCCGGTCACTGGGGTCCGGGCCTCACCCCTGCCTCTCACTGTCCGCCAGGGCCCTCAGGACGGGCCGGCTAGGTGAGGTGCAGCCTCCCGCTCTGGTCGGGGCCCCTGGCCGTCCCCCTTCCTGCCGCCTGTGCCCAGCTCCTGCACTCCAGTCCCAGGGCTCCACCAGACACCTGGGTTCCCACTTATCAGCCCCAGTCCTCCAGCGGAACCCAGGCGTCCGGCCCCCCACCCTCGGGCCAGTGGGCATGGAGCCGAGGCTTTAGAGCCTCCCAGCGGCCTTGTTCCTGTCCCATTGTGTGTGCGACGGGGCGGGGCGAGGGCCAGCGCCGAGAGCCCCCTCCCACTGCCCCCTCCCCTTCCTAAGGAAAGGCCAGGCCGTGCTGGAGGGCGAGGCAGAGTTGAGGCGGCCGGCATGGGCAACTTGAAGAGCGTGGGCCAGGAGCCTGGGCCCCCCTGCGGCCTGGGGCTGGGGCTGGGCCTGGGGCTGTGCAGCAAGCAGGGCCCAGCCTCCCCGACCTCGGAGCCCAGCCGGGCGCCTGCCCCAGCGCCACCCCCCATGCCAGATTACAGGTGAGGGGTAGCTGGGGGGCCAAGGGGCAGGGGGCATAGGGGTAGGTGGCCTGCAGCCTGTGCTGGGAAGGCTGCCTGGCTGCCAGTACAGAGGGGTGATGACTACGGACAAGGCTGATGGTGAGGGAGGCCCAGGGGGAACCAGGATGGGCACCAGTGGGCAACAGGTGGAAGTCGGGTGAGGTGCCCACCTGCCAGGCTGGGATGCTGCACGGCCACCGAGTGCCGTTTAACTTTGCGCGAGTTACTCCACCTTCCGAGCTCTGCTTCTAGAACACGCTCTCGTGCTTGCTGCAGGGGGCTGCTCTAAGTTTCCAGCTCCCGGAATCTTCAACCAAAGCCACGATTATTTAACAGAACGACAGAGCTGGGGAGGGTTGGTCCAGGGGTGAGAAGACGGTCTCCCGAAGGGGGAGAGTTGGGCCAGAGACTCAGGTTCTTGGCAGGAGTCTGAGAAGGCCCAGCAGCCGGGCCCCTTTCTGCACTGCGCAGGCCTCCCCCTGGTAACCCACACCCCAACACGGACCCAGCAGCCGCAGCCCCCCGAAGTGGCCTCCCTGGGACAGAGGTCGCGGATGCCAGTGGCGGGCCAGCCCAGGCGGGGAGGCTGGGACCGTGGGCAGCCCCAGGGAGAGGTCCAGGCCCGGCGGCCTCACAGGCGCTCTGAGGCCGCGTCCCTCCCTTCCTCCAGCGCGGCCGACGGCTCTGGGAGGAAGCGATAAGGCTTCTGAGGCTTCCCTTCGCACGATGGAGGCTGTCAGGAGGGTGTGCGCTTGAGCAGGGCGGGAAATCTGGGCAGAGGGCTCCCTGCTGGGGCGCCACTCCACACCCTCACCCTCATGGGGCTCCTTGCAGTTTAGGGGTCGGACACCATGTCCAGAGGCGGCGGGTGGGGGGTGGGCACGCCTGGGGCCAGGGGCTCCGGCCAGCGTCTGCACAGCCCGAGTCTAGTTGAGCAGCGGGAGGCTGGGGCTGGAGCCACTGGCCAGGGCTGGAAGGGCCAGCTGGGGACCTCGGCCCTCCGGTCACGGCGCCTGCCCAGAAGGAAATACAGTGCTCCCTCTTGGCTTCCAACAGCCCCCCGCTCACCCGCCCCCCGGAGGGGCCCAGGTTCCCCCGCGTGAAGAACTGGGAGGTGGGCAGCATCACCTACGACACCCTGAGCGCTCAGTCCCAGCAGGTAAGGCCCAGAGTCTCCCTTCCCAGGAGGGCCTGGGCCAGGATGGCCGCGCGTCATTCCCTGAGCTGGCCCCCGACCTCCAAAAAGAGGGGAGACTGGGAGGAAGCAGAACTGCTAAGGGAACTCTAGTGACCCAGCCTCCAATCCTTGCCCCAAGTTCAGCCCAGCCTCACCCCAATTTCCAGCCTCAGTCCCAGCCCTCAACACACACCTCCCCAGCCCGCCCACGCTCAGCTACCGGGCCCTGCACCTGACGGGGTCACCACCTTCGCGACCTTGCTCTCACCACCACCCCAACCTTGACACAGGATGGGCCCTGCACCCCAAAACGCTGCCTGGGATCCCTGGTATTTCCTCGGAAACCGCAGAGCCGGCCCTCCCGGGACCCTCCACCAACGGAGCAGCTGCTGAGCCAAGCCAGGGACTTCATCACCCAGTATTACAGCTCCATCAAGAGGTGAGCCCCCCGAGACCCGCAGGCCCCATGCCCACCCGTCTTCAGACCCAGGTCCTTGTCCTGCTCAGGCCGGGACACCTGCTCTGCACCTCCTCAATCACCCACCCCCTTCCTGACAAATGCAGAGTCCCAGCTTAGCAGCTGCAGCCAGCCCCCAACTCTCACACCTGGCCTGGGGGTCTCCCCCCCACTTCCCGCGATCCCCTCTCCTCCCTAGGAGCGGCTCCCAGGCCCACGAGCAGCGGCTGCAGGAGGTGGAGGCCGAGGTGGCGGCCACAGGCACCTACCAGCTCCGGGAGAGCGAGCTGGTGTTCGGGGCCAAGCAGGCCTGGCGCAATGCCCCGCGCTGCGTGGGCCGCATCCAGTGGGGGAAGCTGCAGGTGTGTGGGAGAGAGCAGGAGAACGGCCAGGAGGGGTGGGGGCTCCTGAAGCTTCCCAGGGCACCCCGAGCAGCAGGAGACACTTACCCTTTCCCCTAGAGAGGGGTGCTAGGGAGATAAGCCCCCTAGCGTCGCCTGGGGGGGGGGTACTACTGCCGCAGTGATTCTCTGGGTGTTACTGTCAGGGCAACAGGAGCCACCTTCTGGAAAAGGCCCTGGCTTCTGCCAGCGTGCAAGGAGTGGGCCTCACATGCCCTGCCTGGCCCCTCACCCCAAACACACCGCTCCCTCCTGCCCCCCACCCCCGCCCACGCCCTCCTCACACCCCACCCCCATGACTCAGGGTTCTGGGCCGGTCTGTGGCCTGGAGAATGACCTACAGGGGGTCTGTGGCCTGGAGAATGACCTACAGGGGACCCTGATCTGTGACCTTGCCCTCCTTCGTGTAACTGGCACCGGAGGACTTGGAATAGAGCCACAAGCTCAACAGAACCCCAAGGAGACACGAAGTAAACTAAGAGCCACCCTGTGGAACCCCCCTAACCCTTGAGCCCTTCAAAACTCTGGCTTGAATTTGACTCCACTCCAGGCTATTTCACCCCTTGACCTCCCCTGCTCCGTCTCCTCCTCCCCATCTCCTGCTGGGGCTCCTTCCAGCCACTCAAGAGGGCCGCTCCTGGCCTCATAATGTCTGGGGCAGAGTCTCCAAGGTCTCCCCAGTGCCGCCACCCCCTTCCCATCACCCCTGTGCTCCCAGAGTGAGCTGGTTGACTGGCGGCGGTGCCAGCCTTTGCTTGAGCGCTGTGGGTAACAGGGGACTCACTACCTACACCCTAGGTGGCCGCCCCACCTGTTGGTGATGGGCCCTCCCTCTGAACCAGGTACTGAGCCGCTTCTATAGGAATGGGGAGACATGTGCCCCCAGAAGGAGATAAGGAGCAGACCAGGCCATGCTGGGTGCATGGGGTGCAGGGCAGAAAAGGGTGTGAATGGTCAGAGAGGATCCCCAAGGAGAACACCCAGCTCACAGCAAGGACACCTCAGCCTCCTCAGCTTCTCAGAGGGCTGGCACTCACGCCCCTGCCCCCTCCTGCCCCCGCCTTGGCTGGTCAGGTGTTCGATGCCCGGGACTGCAGCTCTGCACAGGAGATGTTCACCTACATCTGCAACCACGTCAAGTACGCCACCAACCGGGGCAACCTCCGGTGAGTGCCCCACCCCGCCAGGCCGCCTCAGCCCGGCCCCGAGAGCCTGGGCTCTGACCAGCTCTGTCCCGTGCCAGCTCGGCCATCACAGTGTTCCCCCAGCGCGCTCCCGGCCGGGGAGACTTCCGAATCTGGAACAGCCAACTGGTCCGCTACGCGGGGTACAGGCAGCAGGACGGCTCTGTGCAGGGAGACCCCGCCAACGTGGAGATCACTGAGGTGGGCACCAAGAGGTAGAGTGGGTGGACTCTAGCCAGAAGGGTTCTGGGATGAGGGCGGGGTCAGTGGAGGGGTCGGTGGGGCCCCTGGGTGAGATGAAGGAGGGAGGCCAAGGAAGGGGCCTGGGGCTGGGCACTGTGAGCCAGCCCAGGAGGCTTCTCTGAGATGAAGGGTGGGGGACACCAAGGCCAAGGGTCTGGGACCAGGCCCAAAGAAGCGGGGCTCAGACCCCTGCCCGCTCGCAGCTCTGCGTGCAGCACGGCTGGACCCCAGGAAACGGCCGCTTCGACGTGCTGCCTCTGCTGCTCCAGGCCCCCGATGAGCCCCCGGAACTGTTCGCTCTGCCCCCCGAGCTGGTCCTCGAGGTGCCCCTGGAGCACCCCACGTGAGCACGGCAGGGCCAGGGCCTTTGGAGAGTCCTATACTGGGGGAGGGTTGGCCGGCCTCCACAGGGGCCTGATCCCGCGCCCCACCCCCAGGCTAGAGTGGTTTGCTGCCCTGGGCCTGCGCTGGTACGCGCTCCCCGCCGTGTCCAACATGCTGCTGGAAATCGGGGGCCTGGAGTTCCCCGCGGCCCCCTTCAGCGGCTGGTACATGAGCACCGAGATCGGCACGCGGAACCTGTGCGACCCGCACCGCTACAACATCCTGGAGGTGCGCCCGTGGGGGGCAGGGGGGAGCTGCGGCCCGCGCCCTCGGGACCGGGCCTTTCACTCGCAGACAGAGCCACAGAAAGTCCACACGCGCCTATCTGGGCCACGCCGGGTGCTGCTAAGCCAGGACTTGGAGTTGGGCCCTGCAGCCGCCCAGGCAGGTGCATGGGGATGGGGTGCAGGCCCACGTGGGGACACGTCTTTGCCTAGGACAGGCTCAGTAGCGCTATAGCTTCCATCGCATTCTCAAAGCAGACTTTGGCCCAAGCAATATGGAACGTTATTTTAGAGGAGAAATGAGGCCCAGGGCTGAGAAGCGACAGGCCCAGGTCCTCTCTGTTCCATGGTGCCATTGCCAGGGGATCCTGGGGGCCACCGCCCACACCCCAGCCCTCCCACTCATGAGTGTGAGCCGGAGGCTGCAGCCACTGCCCGTGCTGCCCGTACCAATGCGTGCGCCCCTGCTCCAGGACGTGGCCGTCTGCATGGACCTGGACACCCGGACCACCTCGTCCCTGTGGAAAGACAAGGCAGCGGTGGAAATCAACTTGGCTGTGCTGCACAGTTACCAGGTGCCCAGCCCAGGCTGGCCAGGAGGGTGGGCCGGGGCCGGAGGGGCGAGCGGACCTAGAAACGGGCAGGAGAGGCAGAGTCCTGTCGGCGAGGTGTCGGGGCCCGCCGGCCTGCAGTTCCAGAGGGGCTCCTGCCATCGCGGCCTGCAGTGTGGGGAGCCGGCCGATTTGTACTTAGTAATTCTGGTCCCGGGACACGCCGGCTGTTTTGTTTGCGGGACCCACTGGGTTCCGATGCTCTGGTTCCAGCATCGAGGACGTGCAGTGTGAGGAAACCAGGGCCTGCTGGGTACCTCTGGGGGCGTCAGAGTCTGGGATCTCTTGGTTGGTGGGCACACAGACACTGGAAGCGGGGGCAGCTGGACTTGGGGGACGACCGTGCAGGCTGCAGCTACGGGTGACATTGTGTGTTAGCTTAGGGGTGACTCGCACACCAGGGCTCGGTTGACAGTGGTGGAGTCTAAGTCCCTCCCCCCTCCCCCCAGCTGGCCAAAGTGACAATTGTGGATCACCACGCTGCCACGGCCTCCTTCATGAAGCACCTGGAGAACGAGCAGAAGGCCAGGGGGGGCTGCCCTGCCGACTGGGCCTGGATAGTGCCCCCCATCTCAGGCAGCCTCACCCCTGTCTTCCACCAGGAGATGGTCAACTACGTCCTCTCCCCTGCCTTCCGCTACCAGGTGCCCACCCTGCTGGTTCTTGCCCACTGGGGCCGGCTCTGAGGAAGCGGCTCCAGGCAGCCAACCTTTGGTTTTCTTTACTTCCCCCACCCCCCGCCACCCCCCTGCAGCCAGACCCCTGGAAGGGGAGCGCAGCCAAGGGCGCTGGCATCACCAGGAAGAAGACCTTTAAAGAAGTGGCCAAGTAGGTGCCCCAGGAGGGCTGCCCTGCCCCTCCCCGCACCACTCAGGCCCCCCTGACCGCTCGCTCGCCTGCAGTGCTGTGAAGATCTCCGCCTCGCTCATGGGCACCGTGATGGCGAAGCGCGTGAAGGCAACCATCCTGTACGGCTCGGAGACGGGCCGCGCCCAGAGCTACGCCCAGCAGCTGGGGAGGCTCTTCCGGAAGGCCTTCGACCCCCGGGTAGGGCTGAGCTCAGAGCGGCAGGGGTCTGGAAAGGGGGGGCCTTCAGAGGGGCCCGGGAGGACAGAAAAGCACCAGTCAGGGCCCATGAGGAGCCCCGAGACCCACGGGGATCCAGAGGGCCAGTCAGGGCCCGCGGGGAGTGAGGGCCAGTCCAGCGATGACGAGGCTCGTCCCCCCGACAGGTCCTGTGCATGGATGAGTACGACGTGGTGTCCCTCGAGCACGAGACGCTGGTGCTGGTGGTGACCAGCACGTTTGGAAATGGAGATCCCCCAGAGAATGGAGAGGTGAGCCTGCTGGGTGAGGGGCCACTGGGGCCAAGGGGAGACTCAAACATGGGGTGACAATCCCAGCTCTTCTGGCTCCCCAAGAGCCAAGCATGGTCATTCCATGAGGACCTTGAGCCTGCCCTAGCCGCACCCCCACACACAGCCTGTGTCCCCAAGGCGCCCGCACAACCAGCGCAGGGCCGCGGCGGCTGCTCCCCGCGGGCCGGCCGGGCTAGCTGGCTCTGGGGCGCTGACAGAGGAGGAGGACGGGGTGTCCTCTGCTCCGCAGTATTTCTGCTGCTTCTTGACAAGAGAGGAGCGCTGTCCGGAAGGCACCGGGGCCGGGCAACTCGGCTTTCTGAAATCTTTAGAACCAAAAACATCAGCGCCGCGCACTTACGTTCTCTATCCTTAACCGGCGTCTCCCCGGCCGCTCCGCCCTGGCCAGCCCTCGCTAGGCTCGCTGCCCGGGCCTTCTCGGCTCCAGGCTCTGGGCAATAAATGCCCTGTGAGCCCGAGGGCCTCCTCTGGTGCCAGAGGGGGCCGGGGTGCTGTTGGAAGCCTCCCCCCTCCCCACCCCCCGCTGTCCGGCCCAGCCTGCCCCTGGCCTGCCTTTTAAAGAAAAGCAGAAGCACTCGCTTTGGCTTGGGCAGCGTCAGGCGTCATTACACCACGTGACCCACGAGTCCTACCAAGATACAGATCATTCCATCACCCTGGAAAGCCCCCCGCCCTGCCCCCATGGGAAGCCACCCCAGTTCTGACTTCTGTGGCTGTGGGTCGGTGCCGCCTGCTCTAGAAAGGCGCGGAAGTGGGGGTGTCTAGTGTTAGGGCTTCTGTGTTGGGGCTCCCCCGCGGCAGCGGTGCGCGAGCTCCCCGGGTGAACACACGCTGTTTCCCCTCCTGTTGACAGACACTTGGGCTGTTTCCAGTTTTGAGCGATGATGAATAAAGCTGTTATGAACATTCTTGTGCAAGGCCTCGTGGGCTGATGTTTTCATTTCTCTTGGATAAACACCGAGGGGTGACAGCGCTGGTCACTGGGTGGATGTATGCTTAACCGTAACAAACGCTCCCCAGCACCGCGGCCCCAGCCTGGCGGCGGAGCACAGCTCCCCTCGGGTCCCCAGGGGAGCACGCCCAGGTACGGCCCATGGGAAGCGGCTCTCTTCGCTAAAGACACAAGCCAGAATATTTATAGCAGCCTGTTCATAAGCCCCCCACGCTGGAAACAATTCAAATGACTATCAACGTGGACTGGATAAACGGGTACATTCGAACACGTGCAGCAGCGAGGGGGGGAGGCGTCACCACTCAGCAGCGCAGATGAGTCAAGAGGGAACGTAGCACGAAGGAAGCCAGACGGGAGAATCAGGCCGTAGGGGTCACTTCCTATAAAGCTCAGAAACGGGGAGAACCCATCTGTGGGGTGATCCGTCACCCCAGGAAGGAGGCAGGCAGTGTTGACCCAGAGGGGGCGCGAAGCTGACTCCCAGGATACTGGGGGTGCATCTGGATGGATGCCACTGACCCGGGTAGGTCGAGCTGTGAAAATGCGTCAGGCCGCAGGTGACGTGTGCTTCTCTGCGCTGCCTGAAAAGTAAGGCCGGCCGTCCAGACGACGCCCGCGACTGCCGAGCCACGCGCAGCCCAGCTCGCGCTGAGGACTGGGGGCCTGGCGAGTTGGTTTTCCCCGAGTCCGGGGGGGCTGCATGTGGGTCAACGTGGTTTTCACAGCCGCGCGTGACGCGGCTCCGCCCTCGGGACACTGTCCATGCGCAGCGGGCGGGGCGCGCGCCCCAGGCTGGACTTTGTTATGACCCGGTGGCGGCCAGGCGGGCCGGGGAGGGAGGGGTTTGCCCCATCAGGTTTGAATCCTGGGGGTCGGCAATTGCATGTCTAGGGAGCGCCCTACGGAGCCGCGCGTGTCCAGCAGGTGCTGTTCGCACAGCCCAGGCGTCCGCGCGGGGAGGCAGAGCCCGGGTGCTGCTCTGGGGGGCTGAAGAGGAGCCGCCCGCAGGGTGCGCTCCCGCATGTACGTGTCAGAGGAGCTGCAAGCACAGATCCGTGTGAGCCCTACAGAACGGGCGGGGAGCCCCGATGCTGGGGCACATACTGGGGGCGGGGGCGCCGGGCGGGAAGAGAAGGCCCGTTTTCTCTTTGACACTCTCCCCACTTGCACTGCGTTTCCCAAAGCCGAGAGCTCGGGGCGCACTGGCTGTGCGGAGCAGCAGGATGATTTTTGATGGCACCAAGCGAACAGACGCACACATGGGGGGAGGCGCCCGGGCGGCCTTTGGAAGTTTCGAAAGAAATTAAAAGTCGCAAATAATACCCCCGGGGGCCGGCGCCTGCAGCCCACGCTTTCGCCGGAGACGCTGCAGAGCTAACCTGACCCCTCGCTCCCGCCAGGGCTTCGCTGCTGCCCTGATGGAGATGTCGGGACCCTACAGCTCCCCCAGGCCCGAGCAGCACAGGTGAGTGGGGGGCATAGGGGAGATGGGGGCGGGGGCGGCGAGGCTTCTGGAGAAACAGGAAGGGGTCTGGAGCTGCCTGGGCCGCCCTCCCCTGTCCCCCGCTCCCCTGCAGTCCCAGGAGGAGGGGCAGTCTGGAGGTCTCCTCCAAGAGGGGCGGGGTCCCCTCCTCTCCCCGCAGCCTGCTCTGGAGAGGGAGATCGAGCCCAGGGGCAGGCCCTTCCTGCCTCAGGCGTCCCTGAAGCCACCCCACGGGCATCTCGGCTCCCCTGACGCCGGTCTGTGTCCCTTTCTGGCCAGGAGCTACAAGATCCGCTTCAACAGCATCTCCTGCTCGGACCAGCTGGTGTCCTCGTGGCGGCGGAAGAGAAAGGAGTCCAGTAACACGGACAGCGCTGGTGCCCTGGGCACCCTCAGGTCTGGGCCTCCACTGGGGGAGGCTGCAGGGCGGGCAGGAGGCCTGGGCACCCAGGGCTGGACAGGGCGGGCTTCACCGACCGCTCCCTGCACCCCAGGTTCTGTGTGTTCGGGCTGGGCTCCCGGGCATACCCCCACTTCTGCGCCTTTGCACGTGCGGTGGACACCCGGCTGGAAGAGCTGGGCGGGGAGCGGCTCCTGCAGCTGGGCCAGGGGGACGAGCTGTGTGGCCAGGAGGAGGCCTTCCGGGGCTGGGCCCAGGCCGCCTTCCAGGTGAGCCCCTGCTCCTGCCCTGCCTGGCCTGACCCAGGCACCCCTCCATTCTGCCTCATCCCTCCTGGACCTCAGACCTGCAATACTGAGGCAGGGGCCTCCCCGCTGTCCCGCTCTTGTTGCGGTCTCTGCTCCCTCCGTTTCTTCTGAAACCCACCCTTGCTTTGCCCCTGCGCAGCCAGCCTTCTGGCTGGTCCTGAGTGCTGGCCAGCCGGGCGCAGGCAGAGGCAGACAGACCGGGCCCTAGAGATGGGACCCTCTGTGGACACAGGCTGAGCCCCTCGAGTGGGCACGGAGGGGCAGGGCGCAGGGAAGGTGGGGCGGGGGGAGAAAGGAAGGATGGAGAGAGGGTCACACGGAGGCAATGGCTGAAGCTGAGAGCAGCAGAGAAACCGCAGGGAGTCAGAGCCAGTGGGCCTGGGGATTGTGCCTGGACCCGGGGTGTCGGGGAGGTGAATGCAGGGTGGGGCGACGCTGTGACTGCTGAGCCTGAGCTTCCTGAGAGGCTGCTCTGCCCGTCTCTTATGCCTGCAGCCAAGCCGGCTCCTCCTCCCCACACCCCCCACACCCCCCACACCCCCTTCCCCTACTCTCCCCACACCAGGCTGCGCCAGGGCACCCTCTTCTCTCTTCACCTGGCCCAGCTGGAGGGCGCACTGGGGGGCGCACTGGGGGGCTCAATGGAGGGCCAGAGGCCCAGGCGGGGAGGAGGGAGAATGGAAAACAAGGGGAAAGACTCCAGATAAAGGCAAGTGGGGGGCGCGCAGGAGGTCCTGGGGCAGGACTAGGTGAGGGCGAGGGTAACAGGCCACAGAGCGCTTCCCACAGGAAGACTCCCAGCTGGCAGCCGTGGCGTGGGGGTAGGAAGGAAGGGAGGGGGCGAGGAAGGAAGGAAGAGATAGAAGACTTCACACAAAGGCGAGATTAGCAGGATGGCAATGTGGGGCGGGAGGGGTACCATGGTGAGTGAGCCCCAACTCAAGAGGCAGGGGGGAGGGCTGGCCAAGCAGCCGGCGGGGCTTGTGCATGAGCAAACACAGCCAGGACACGCACGCCCAGGGGGCCCTCCAGGAGAGACAGGCCAGCCGGAGACGCCCCGGGGCCCCCAAAATTCACGTCCGGCTTCAGTAGCACTTGTGGGCTTTCACTCTTCACTGGAGCCTGACAGGGTGTAAAGATGGGGAACAGGCACATAAACTGCGCGGGGGAGCCCAACTGGAACGCCGGCTGCAGGCCTGGCCGCGCCCCTCCGTGCCGCGTGCGAGCGCCGTGCTCCCCGGGACCGCAGGGAGACAGAGGTGTGCGAGAGGCATGCGAGGGGAGCCGCGGCTCCCGGCATCCATTCTCCTCCTGCCGGCGCCGCGCGGATGGGCGCCCAGAAGGCAGTGAGGGGCCCGCGGGGCCCGCTGGAGGCGGGCGGGCTCCGTCCTCACTCAGCCCCGCGCCCCGCGCCCCAGGCCTCCTGCGAGACCTTCTGTGTGGGCGAGGACGCCAAGGCGGCTGCCCGGGACATCTTCAGCCCCAAGCGGAGCTGGAAGCGCCAGAGGTACCGGCTGAGCGCCCAGGCCGAGGGCCTGCAGCTGCTGCCAGGTTCGGGCCTGACCTCCCCCGGCCCCCCGCCCCTGCTGGCGACAACACTCGGGGGCCAACAGCTCCCCGCTGGGTCTGTCTCCTCCCTCCCCCGCCAGGCCTGACCCACGTGCACAGGAGGAAGATGCTGCAGGCCTCCGTGCTCGCCGTGGGAAACCTGCAGAGCAGCAAGTCCACGTGAGGAAGACCCCGCCCCCCGCACCTCTCCTGCCCCGGCTCCCAGCACCCCCGCCCCGCCCCTCCCAGGCCGCTGCCCCTGGTAACCGCCCCTCTCCCCCAGCCGGGCCACGATCCTGGTGCGCCTGGACACGGGAGGCCAGGAAGGGCTCCTATACCAGCCCGGGGACCACATCGGCATCTGTCCGCCCAACCGGCCCGGCCTGGTGGAGGCGCTGCTGAGCCGCGTGGAGGACCCGCCGCCGCCCGGGGAGCCCGTGGCCGTGGAGCAGCTGGAGAAGGGCAGCCCTGGTGAGGGCCGGGGCCTGGGGCACCCAGGGCCCCCTGGGGGTCAGGACCTGGCAGAGGGCTGCCACCTGCCGTCCAGGCTGGGTCCTGCCTGCTCCGCGGCCACGCTACCTCCTGCCAGTCTGGCCTTGTTGCTGGATGGTCCGCAGAGCGGGTCCCCTTTCTCAGAACCTGTTCCCATGCCACCCCAAAGGCTGTCCCCTCCCGCTGAGACCCCCCAAAGGTTCCCCTGGCAGCACACGGGTCTGGAGCTGGCGTGTACCTACCTTTTACCTGGGGTTAAACTGAATTGGGTGGGGAGAGGCAGAGGAGCCCCCAAACACCCAGGGGCCTGCCCAGACAGGCTCATCTCCACAGTTCCAGTGCGGTGAGCCCCGTGTCGCCCCACAATGCCCTTTCCTCAGCGCTCCCCCCACACCGCCCTAGGTGGCCCTCCCCCCGGCTGGGTGCGGGACCCACGGCTGCCCCCGTGCACGCTGCGCCAGGCGCTCACCTTCTTCCTGGACATCACCTCCCCGCCCAGCCCCCGGCTCCTGCGGCTGCTCAGCACCCTGGCGGAGGAAGCCAGCGAACAGCAGGAGCTCGAGGCCCTCAGCCAGGTGGGGGGCCAGCGGCGGGGAGTGGGCCTAGTGAGGCAGGAGGAGCTGGGGCCCGGGATCCCCCGGCCAGTGTGAACTGGAGTTTGAAGATCAAGCTCGAGGCCTGCACCCAGAAGGGGCTCTGCATTGAGGGGAGAAACCCCAAGGAGGCGCAGCTCTCGAGGGTCAAGATGGAGGTCAGCAGGCCGGGCGAGGAGGTTCCAACCCCCACACCCTGCCCCTCCAGGACCCCCGTCGCTATGAGGAGTGGAAATGGTTCCGCTGCCCCACGCTGCTGGAGGTGCTGGAGCAGTTCCCGTCGGTGGCACTGCCTGCCCCCCTGCTCCTCACCCAGCTGCCCTTGCTCCAGCCCCGGTACTACTCGGTCAGCTCAGCACCCAGCGCCCACCCGGGAGAGATCCACCTCACGGTAGCCGTGCTGGCCTACAGGACCCAGGGTGAGGCTGCAGAGGGGCAGGGGCAGGCCACACAGTGGCCCCAGGATGGCCGCCTCACTGGCTCGCTCTCCTTCCCAACCCCTTAGACGGGCTCGGGCCCCTGCACTACGGAGTCTGCTCCACGTGGCTGAGCCAACTCAAGGCCGGAGACGCTGTGCCCTGCTTCATTAGGGGGTAAGTGTGCAGTGGGGTGCAGGCAGAAGGGGCATCAAGAGTCTGTCCAGCAGGAGGAAGTGCCACATGGGTGGCCTGGGACAAAGAGGAGTCGGCGGGCACAGGGTGAGGGTGGCGGTTTTGGTGAGGCGGTGATTGGGAACGGAGGACCTAACACGTCAAGGACAGGGCGTTCCCTTGGCCACTGCAGCACTTTGGCAAGCTTTGGGTCTTGCCCTAATTTGGGGCAGTGTTTAGAAGCTGCGCTGTGTCCTCCCCACATCCTTGGGGCCAGTCTGAGGTTGGCAGGCGTGGCACCCTGTTCAAGAGCAGGTGCCCAGGTAGTTGAGAGTGAACTAGCTGGCTACCACAGTCATGACAGAGAGCTCAGAGAAAGTGGAAGGGTCTCAGCACCCCCGTTCCGTTTGCTGGGTTCAGAAGTCTGGCCCCATCCACCAGCCAGGAGCCAAAGACTCCAGTGAGACTAAGATTTCCCAGTGGCACCAGCAAGGCCCAGTGCCCGAGCCCAGCTGGGAGGCTAAATGACAAACTACCAATCGGCTGAATACCAGCAAATGCCAACGTTAAGGTGGTGACTAAAATAATCACCCAACAATCCTGTGAACCCAAGGCTGTCCTCTTACCCCTATTTCTAAGTCTGCTCAACCGAGACAGCAAGAGATCCTTCGGTCCGGTCTGAACCATATTCCCTTTGACCCAATCAACTCCCAGAGCCCACGGGGTGGGGGCACTGCCGCCTGCAACTCCACTCGCCTTCCCTTCCTGGGAACTGGACGCTGGCAGGGGAGCACTGCGCGGGAGCACAACTCCCATTTCCAATGGGAGTGGACTCCTTGCTCAACCCCCATGCGGCTGGTAAGAGCGGGGAGCTAGGGAGGCAGGCGGGAACTGACGGAGTCTCTCATTAGGGCTCCCTCCTTCCGGCTGCCACTTGATCCCAGCTTGCCCTGCATCCTGGTGGGGCCTGGCACGGGCATCGCCCCCTTCCGGGGATTTTGGCAAGAGCGGCTGCACGACATTGAAAGCAAAGGTGAGGCGGGGCCAGGGAGTGAGTGGAAGGCAAGAGGCAGTCACACATCCTAGGGCCGGAGGGGTGTGGACTGGAAGGCAGGAAACAGGCAGGAGAGTGGGTAAGGAACCGACCACAAAGGTGAAAAGGAGTTTATCAGAGCAAGGGGGAGGGAGAGGACAGTGTGTGTCAGGCTTCTGGTGGCTGGCACAGCGTGGCCGTTGGGCTGGATTAGGGACGTGTGCAGGGAATGGGGCTGGGACTCGGAACACATAACCGCTGCCAGTAGACTCTGGACTGGACTCTGGCCTCAGGGCTGGAGGACGCTGTAGGGTGCTCAGGTTGGGCCCGGGGTGCCTGGGGCAGTCAATCGATCCAAAGAAGAGAGTTGTGATGGCACAGCAGGTTGCAGGTGTGGGAGGATGTGGGTTGGGTCAGGGCTGGATAAGACTCCCCCAGTGTGGTGTTACATGGCACAAAGGGGCGACTTTAGCACAGGGGCGACTCCACCCGGGGAAATCACTACCTCCTGTGAGCTCCTGCAAATCAGGAGTGTGGCAAGGTGTCTGTGGAGGCCTCTGCCCTCTCCTGGAGGCCAGACAAGCGAGGGTGGTCCTCTTCTGTCGGAAAAGCTAGCTGGCAGCCTGGGCCAGGGAAGCCAGTGGGAGGTGTCCCTAGGGCCGTGCCCCTTGGCGGGGGAACCTCTCCCAAGCCACGGTGCTGCTTGCAGGGCTGCAGCCCGCCCCCATGACCTTGGTGTTCGGCTGCCGATGCTCCCAGCTCGACCACCTCTACCGCGACGAAGTGCAGGATGCCCAGCAGCGCGGGGTGTTTGGCCGAGTCCTCACCGCCTTCTCCCGGGAACCCGACAGCCCTAAGGTGAGGGACCCTGAAGGGCGCAAGAATAACCTGAAGCCAGGGCTGGGGCGAGGCGGCTGTGCGCTCCAGCACCCCCCTCCCCACCCCTCTCCCCGCCACGCGCAGGGCTGGGGAACCCGCCTGCGCGCTCAGCAGCAGCAGCGCCCGCGGGCTGGACGCCCCTTCGGGCCTCGCGCACCCGCACCCAAGCCCCTCGCTGGCTCGGCCCCCGGCCCACCCCGCGCGCCGGCCGCACCTGGCGGCCGGGACTCACGCCCCGGGCCGGGCCCGACCCTCCCCAGACCTACGTGCAGGACGTCCTGCGGGCCGAGCTGGCCGCCGAGGTGCACCGCGTGCTCTGCCTCGAGCGAGGCCACATGTTTGTCTGCGGCGATGTCACCATGGCAACCAGCGTCCTGCAGACGGTGCAGCGCATCCTGGCGACAGAGGGCGACATGGAGCTGGAGGAGGCCGGCGACGTCATCGGCGTGCTGCGGGTGCGGAGGGGCGGGGCTGGGCGCTCGAGGGGCGGGACCGGGCGCTCGAGGGGCGGGGCCAGGGGTTCCGGGGGCGGGGCCTGGCGCTCCGGAGGCGGGGCCGGGCACTCCGGGGGGTGGGGCCGGGCGCTCCGAGGGCGGGGCCTGGCGCTCCGGAGGCGGGGCCGGGCACTCCGGGGGGTGGGGCCGGGCGCTCCGAGGGCGGGGCCCACTCCCGCGCGGATCTCAGATCCGGTCTCGGTTCCGACGCGCCGCGCTCTTTCCCGCAGGATCAGCAACGCTACCACGAGGACATTTTCGGGCTCACTCTGCGCACCCAGGAGGTGACAAGCCGCATCCGCACCCAGAGCTTTTCCCTGCAGGAGCGGCGTCTGCGGGGCGCAGTGCCCTGGGCGTTCGACCCGCCCGGCCCAGACACCCCGGCCCCTGAAAGCCGCTTGCTCTCCAGCCCGGCTCCTGGCGAGCGCGGCCGTCGGTCCCCCCTGACCCCCCCCCATCGGGCAGCCCGCGACCACCACGTTGCCCTCCCCTCCCGAGGTGCCTCCCGTCCGCCCCGTCTGCCGGGCCCCCCTCACTCCCGAGGCCGAGTGCAAGTGTCTCTGCAGACCTGCCCCCGCCCCCCCGCACCTGGAAGGCCACACCCCAGCGTGGTGTTCCAGAGGCCGCAGGTCACCCCTTGCATACTCCTTAGGTGAATTTAGATTCCCCTCCCCTCTTTCAGAGGTATCTTATCTTGAAACCTACTCTTTAAATCGATCAAATATTTATTATTGAAGATAAGAGACTGGAGCAGATATTCTTAGCGCTATGAAGATACCTAGCCCAGCCGGGTAGATTAAAATGACAGAACGACAGCTTCCTCTTCTTGCTGGTGTGGAGTGAGGGTGGAGTTCTTTGGCAGGGAGGCCCCGCTGCAGGCTGACTCTGATTTCACAAATGAGGTTTCTGGCCAATGACAGGCACCAGGTGGTGCCCTCCTGCTCGTAATTGAGAAGCAGGAGCGGGGAGGCCAGACACCAAGGTCCCAGGCTGTGCAGCGCGGCCAGGCAACCAGGCAACCTCTGCTGCCGGGTTCAGACAGGATGAGGAACCCAGCCCTCGTAAGATATCAGACCAATGCCCAACTCCGAAAAACAGCCCTCGCTGGAGGTTTGCACTCACCAGTCCCCACCAGTTACCCTCCGCAAGTCCCCTGGGAACTTGAAGGCCTCAAGAACCCACTCAGGTCCCATTCCTCATTGTTTGCGGACATTAGCTTGGCCTCAGGATCCAGTCTGGACAGCTCGTTGGGCCGGGGTTCCCTTAGGCCTTGTGTGTGGATCACGTGTAAAAGTTGTTTCCAGATGCCTTTGGCATCTCCTCCTCTCCCCTTTCTCTGCGCTCTGGGGCGAGTTTGTCACTGACCCCCAACTCCTGCCCAACTAGGTATACAGGGGACCAGGGTCCCTGGGGGATCTCTAAAGAGGGCTCGGCGTGTTCTTCCACTCCACCTTGTCACATCTCCCGGTGCTGGAGAAGCTGGAGAGACTGGGAGGGAGAAAAAGGCCCTTGGGGTTAGTTTCCAGAGATGATCACCCCATCACCCCAGATTCTGGCCACTGCTCCTATTGCTCCATTCTGGCTCCCCCCAATTTTCTACTTATTACACAATACCTACCCCCAGAAGGCCACTCAGTCAGTGCTAGGGGCCTGGCCAGGCTCCTTCTGGGCATCTGTGGTTTCCTGAAACCCTCCAGGGAACAAAGTCTGGTCCCGCTGGGCTCTCCACTGCTGTCTGGGGCTAGAGACAGGACTGGAGCCTGGTGAGAAAAGCCATCAAGTGGCTACTGCTGTGTCGCCAGCACACACACAGGCAATCAATCAGTCCCCCCTCCTCCCTGATGCCTCACCATCACTGGACCAGGATGGCTTCTCCTCATCAGGCGACAGTGTCTGTGAGGGGCTGGACCAGCGCCGGGACAGGGAGGTGGCGGAAGCCTCACCCCATGCTCCCTGCTGCTGCTGCTGATGGAGCTAAATGGGAAGGAGAGAATGAGGGACTCCCTCCTGCTCTCAGGCGGACCCAGACCCCGGGCTAGGTGCCGAGGGTTCTGGCACCTCAACTCCCTGCTTCTCCTTTGCACACTCCTCTACTCACCTGGTGCAGGTATATGGCGTGGAGACTCATCTCAGCAGAAGTCAGCTCTGGGAGCTGGGCCAGCTTCTGCCCCCCACTGCCTCCTGGGGACACGCAGCTGGAACAGAGGGTGCAAGGATCAAAAAGACATACCTTTCCCCCAACACCCTAAAGGGAGGGCAAAGCTTGATTCCCCCACCTCACCCTCCTCAGAGCCCCCAGTGACACTGCATCTCACCTTGGGTCCTGGGCAATTCGGGAGATGGAGGCCAGGAGGCTAGCTGTGGCCGCAGCTGGGCAGGGGCCGGTGGGGCTCAGGTCCCTCTGGGGCAGGAGGGGGTGCACCAAGAGGTTGGCCAGAAAGGTCTCAGGCTGGAGCAAACACAGAGGGGGTCAGAGGGAGCACAGACGGGGAGGAGGAGGTCATCTAAAGACGGCAGGCAGCGGGCTGGACTGCTGAGCAGGCGGATACTAAAGGTCAGAGAGGGAAGGGGGTGTTGAGGGCAGAAGGCCTGGTGGGGGACTCACCAGAGGAGAGGAGGAGTCACTGAGCACCCCAGGGGTCGGGGGGCTGCGAACTGAAGTGGCACCCCAAGCCGCAGCGTCTTGCTGAACCCGGCCTCTCAGGTGCCCCAGGAACTTGGAGCTGTGCCCTGGGGGGCGCCATTGAGGATGCACCAGGGAAAACCTCATCAAGGAGAGCTCGGTCTTTCCGTCCTCCGCGCGCTGAGACAGCGAGGCCTCTGTCTGTCCCGCTGAGAGCCACTGGGAGCAAAGAGCCTTTCAGGTGCTGTGGACACCGCACCTCGCAGGGCCGGTGGGACAGGACACACTAGCCCTACTTCCCAGGGGAAAGAAGGCGGCCCACAGAGGGACTTGCTCAAGGTCACCCCAACACCCCGCAAGGAGCAGGACTGGCTCTCGACAGCATGGGGTTGATGCCGCGCCTTCCTCTAGCCTTGGCGTTGACAGGCACTTGGGCCAAGGGAAGTGGAGCTCCTAGTTCAAGGTCACAGGCAGCAGGGCGGGAGCTGGGCTTGGACCCAGGTCCACTATGGGTGCGGCGAGCAAACTCCTCCGACCCACAGCCCCACACGGCCGGGGAAGGGCTCTAACCTGAGGGTGGCCGTGGCGCTTCACGTCCATGAGGGCAAAGGAACAGATGTCCCCCACCCCTGCCACGTCCACAGTAAAGTGATGGAAAAAGTCAATGATCTCCAGGGCGCGGGGGCGAAACCAGAAGAGCAGGAACAGTGGGGTGAGCAGAGGGGACAGCAGCTCCTCGAGGAGGGAGACCTGGACAAGCAGGATGCGGCTGAGAAGGGGGTGCTGAGGTCCCACCCCTCCTGACTGGGACGGCCGGGGACGCTCCCCAGGCCAGGACAGCCGGTCACTGCCGGGGTCCTGGGATAGCCAGACGGCCCCGCTCCCTGTCCCGGGCCAGCGGGCCGCCCCTCACCGCTCGGTACTGCAGCAGCCGCGCCATCTGCCGGTACGCGCTGGCCTTGCCGGCGGGGCCCGGCTCCTCGGGCAGGTAGTGCATGTGGGCCAAGGCCGCCTGCAGCAGCAGCTGGGGGGACCGGCCCTGGCACCGCTCGTCGGGCAGGAAGGACCTGGAGGCGGGGCCGGGTGGAGAGGGGCGCGCGGTCAGGCGGCGTGCGCGCCGGGCTGGAGAGACGCGGGCGGCGGCGGCGGGGAGGGGTGGGGGGCTCCGGGGGGCTCGGCCGCAGATCGCAGGGACGCGTCCCCCTCCCCGGCCTCTCCCGGCGCACCTGGCCACGGTGGCCGTGACCCCGAGCGCGGTCATGGCGGTGAGCACGTGCTCCACGGCCAGCACGTCCTCGTCGTAGACGGTGAGCACCAGCAGCGCGGCCAGCAGCGCGCCGGCGAAGAAGACCGCCTGGCGGGCCAGCAGCGCCAGCAGCGGCGCGGGGGGCGCGGCGGCGCGCAGGAAGGCGGCCGCGGGCCGGTAGGCGCGGGCCAGGCGCGCGCGCAGCTCGTGCGGCAGCTCGTTGAAGTGGCGCAGCTGCAGGCGGGCCAGGCGGGACCAGCGGCGCGTCCCCAGCGCGCCCGGCTCGCGCCGCAGCAGCTCGGCGTGGCTGTAGAAGGCGTGCAGCACCTGCCAGGCCAGCACCAGCGGGCTGAGCGCCAGGTTCACGGCGGCCAGCAGCAGCACCGCGCGCCGCCAGCGCGCCGCCAGGGCGCCCCGCTGGTCGCTGCGCTTGTAGGCGTCGGGCAGCTCCCAGCCGCCGCGGAAGAGCGAGAAGGGGCCGCGGAAGAGGAGCAGGTCCACGTTGAGCGCCAGCCCGCGGCTGAGGAAGCCCGCGCCGCCGCCCCAGGGCAGCGCGCAGCGGGCGGGCAGCAGGCCCTTGTTGGCCAGCGCCACCTGGTAGTTGGTGTAGCGCAGGATGCGGTGGTGCACGTCGAGCTCGGTCAGCGGCCGCGGCTGCACGCACAGCCCCCCGCTCCTCTGCAGCGCCAGGAGCCGGGACTGCACCTCCGCCCAGGGCACCGCGCTGAGCTCCTCCTGAGGAGGGGGACCGTGAGCGCGACCCGAAGGGCCCGCCACCCGCAGGCCCACCCCACCGCGCCCCTGCTGCAGCCGCCCCGCGGGCTCTCACACCCAGGGGCGCTGGCTGAGACCTGGGGGTGTGGCCAGGTGTCTGCCCCCTGCCCTCCCCTAACCCAGTCGCTGACAAGGGGCGCTTCCAGCTTCCTCCCTTCCCGCGCTGGAAGGCTGCTCCCCCAGCCCCAGCCGCTGCGAGGCCATGAGTCAGCGCTTCCCTGAGCCACCTCACACCCTAAAGTTGTCAGGTATTTGATAGGAGCTCTGGGGTGCAGGCTCGACAGAGCCCCCCCACGGTCCACAGTCCTGCACTTCCGAGACTCAGAGGCACCACAGCTGAGGGGAACCTCGCCTCCCTGTGCCGAGGGGGCCGAAAGCCTCACCTCCTTTGGCTCTGAGACCCCAGCCTGGCCCCACGCCATCCCCGGGTTAACCGTCCTAAGACACTGGCTGTGTCCACCCCGGGCGTGGGGGCGGTCAGAGCGGGGAGCTCATCTGCAACCTCATTTGAGCCCCGTTTCACCCAGCTGCCCCCGTCCAGGTTAGTCAAGTCCCTCCGGGCCAGCCTCTCCAGTCCATCCCAGGGTCTCCCTTCCCCTGGAAGGAACAGGAGGGGAGGGGAAAGAGGAGAGAAAAGATAGACAGAGAGAGGTCAGCGGGCACCCCAAGGAGCAGCGGCCTGACCATGCCCGCCCCGCCTCCGCCGCCCTGGCCTTCTCCACCGCCCCAGGCTCTGTGCCTGGTGCTTCCCAGCTCAAGGGGGCTTTCCAGAACCTCTCCCGGGGTGGTGCAAGCGGGTTGTGTGGAAGGTTCTGGGCTTCTGAGGGGCAAGGGAAACTGGCTGCAGGGTTAGCCTCAGAGCCGGGCCTTACAGAGGAACTTAGGGACAGCAAGTAGGAGTGACGGGGGTGCTGGAGAGGAAGGAAGGCAGGCAGGGAAGCGGGGCTGGGACAGCAAGGGCCCCGGCGGTAGGATGCTGCAGGGGGCGAGGCCAAGAAGAGGGGTGGTGTCACCCAGCGGCCTGAATAGCTTCAGGGGGGTGGGCTATTTGCCCCCTTCCTGCATCAGGGCTGGGACTGCCTCCACCCCTGTCCTGCCTAGGCTAGCCTGGATTCTCCCCACTCTGAGCTCTGATGAGTGTGTTTACACGCCTGTTGTTTTGATCACAAGCACGTGACTAAATCCTCTTCGGCAACCCTTCTACATCAGCCAAGCTGCTTGAGGTGAGGACTTGTTTTACGAGGTGGCACCCCGCCTTGTAACATTACTCGCAGCCTCAGGTAGGTGTCATTGAGGCCTTCAGCCCTCTTTCTAGTTGGTCCTTCGGTCTGTACTGTAGCCCCCCACCCACCTGGCACCAGACACACGGACACCCCCACCCAGCTCACCGGGGGGATGTGCAGGGCCTCCTTGTAAAACACCTGGATGTCCCAGAAGCTGAAGAGGTTGCAGACTGATCGAAGCAGCTGGAACAGCCAGAAGGCAGCAGCCAGGATGAGAAGAAAGACCAGCAGGGGGCTGGAATGGATCCTGGGGGAGGGACAGAGAGCGGCAAGAAAGTGGGGGCCCGATAGACAGGGGACCAGACTTAGGGAACCGTGGAGAAGACATGGAGGAGACCAGCTAGACCAGCAGTTCTCAAAGGGTCGGGGGTCCCTGAGCCTCTCACAAGCATAGTCAAGGTCAACATTTTTTTGCAAACTCTGGGTTTCTGCCATTGTCAGTGTCCTGTGATCGCCAGGGTGCAGCGGAGGCCTAGCATCCAGAGCGGGCCAGCACTGGGATGCGCCTGTGCTTTAGGTTCTAAAGCTGTTCTCGGCCTTCTGGCCTAACGAGGTACATATCCCCAGCCAGGATCCTCGTCTGCTAAAGCCCTTGGGAGGTCTCTGTCAACTGTAAGTGCACTAAGGACACCTGAGCCCATACACTGGGAGACTGCTGATCTAGACCACGGACCAAGGGCTCCCCACCCACCCTCAAGCACTGGCACTCACCGCTGGGCACACTGGCCGGAGGACAGGATGGCATCTGACAAGGTCACCTTGTTGCGGAGCAGCCCGGGACTCGTGCGGTTATTCAGTTGGTTGGCAAAGAGGACGTTGTAATCCACGCAGCGCAGGAGGAAGGTCGTGAAGGTGACAATGAAAACAAATTGTCTGGGACGCAGGGAGGCTACAGATTAGGCCTGAGGGCCGGGGGGCACCTGGCCCAGCCTCCAGGGCAAGCCCTGGGCTCATCCCACCAGGCAAGCCCTGGGTGGCTCAGGAAGGCTCTGGGTGGCCCCACAGCAGCAGGCAAACAGGGAGGGGGAGCCTAGGACAGAGTTTGGGTTCTGGTGGCATCTCACCCCAGCTGGAAGAGGTCCTCCAGGAGGATGCAGGTGAAGCCGTTCCTCTGGTGGTAGCTGTAGATGTGGACGGGTCAAGAAACAACCCAGCAGGATGAGCCTGTCAGGACACGGCCCCCAGCAAGCCCCCACCCACCGCACCCTCGAGTCTCCCGACAACGTTGGTGCCAGCCGCCCGGGGGTCTTCCTGGGCCACCGCCGTACCCAGCACAAAGGATATCTTGGTGAAGAAGCTGTCCAGGTTCTGGATGTGGTGCCAGGAGCCTGGGCACAAAGGGGAAAGGGTTGGCACCTGGCTGCCGCCTAAGTGATAAGCTCCCGACCCTCCATCCCTGCCAGAGCTCCTGACACCGCCCCCTCGCCCCACACCCACACACTCACCTCGGAGCCCTTCGGGTACATGCAGCAGGGGCTGCTGATCCTCCCCGTGGAGGGGGGAGTCTTGGGACCCCTCAGGGTCACAGTCCTCCAGCCGCTCATAATCCTGTTCAGGGATCAGAGGGCCTATCCGCAGCCCAGGAGGGTCCTGGGGGCATCGGCGTGAGGGAAGGGGAGTCACCGAGGCCAGGGATGGGGTGGAGTGGGAACCCCAGCAGCGGGGAGCAGAGATGGGTGTTGTGGTGGAGCTCGCCTGCTTGGGAGGGGCTGCTGGGGTGGGGAAGGCACTGCGGCGAGGCTGAGAAGCCCCAGGACCCTGAACCACTGAGCAGGAAGGTCCCGGGGCTGCAGCAGGAACTGAGGACCGGCTGCTTCTCATGTGAGGGACTGGGGACAGAGAGAAGATGGAGACCCTCCCGCCCCCAGGCCCCCGACCCGGAGGAGGAGGAAGAGGAGGCAGCGACATGGGGAGGAGGGGCACTGATCCAGGCCCCGGGTCTCCCCACCGCCCCAGCCGCCCCCTGCTCCCCCCCCAGCCTATTCGCCTCACCATCGGGCTGGCGGCCTCTCCCGAGATCTTGGACGATGGGAGCTGCTGCCACTGCCACGGACGACGGCCGGGTTGCCGAGCAGGACTTCAACAAGGACAGGGACAACAACAGCACATGACTCAGTGGGCCGGTCACACCCCTTCCAGGGCAACCTGCGGCCAAACCTCCAGAGCCCCGCCTCCTCCTTGCTGGGAGGGGCAGCAGTTTGAGGGGCAGGAGCTGAAAAGGCCTCAGACCAGAGGAGACACCTATTATCCCTTCTGCAGACCGGGCAGGAGTTAGAGCCCCGGGAGCAGCAAAGTAAGACAAGCAAAAAGAAAACCCTATCAAGGAATCCTAGGATGATGGACCTACATGTTAGGAATTGGGTTTCTTAAAATCTTGTCTCCCTCCCCCACACACACACCCATAGTGATTAACAGAGCAATGTTTTAAGGCCAAAAGCAAAGAAAAGAAAAAATGAGGCTGCTGGTTGTCTGTCTGCCAGGACTAAGAGAAGGAGGAAGGCCGACTTGGCAGGCAGCTTGAGGGAAACCTGGAAGGAAGGAGAAGCAAGGATAGGAGCTGCCTTGCATATGAGAAGTGGTTTGGGGAGCCTAGAGTAAAAAAATGGGGCCCCTTGGAAATGCTATTATGTTTATTTCTTTATCCTCTTGAACCCTGAAATCCATTCCCCCAGGTCTTGGTCCAGTTTCTGGGGTCCCCTGAAGTATCCAGGCTTGGGGCTTGAGAACCTGCAGAGGAGGGCAGCTGGGGTTCTGGGGTTTGAAGGATGACCTGACTGAGCGAGTTCCTCATTGTCACCCCTGAAGGATGGAGGAGGAGGAGGTGGCCAGGCAACTGGTCGGGTGGCTTGTCCAACGCCATTCTTGAGGCCTTGAATCACCAGGTTTCCTACCGAAGCCCATTCCTGAGGTGCTGACTCAGCCACCCAGGTGTCAGGCCTGCAGGGCTTAGCCCAAGGGCCAGGACCCAAGCTCTGGGCAGAACGGAGCTTCCAGTTGTTCACTGGAAGAATGTGCAGGCCATCGTGAAACCACTCACAGAATGTACCCATTCTCCTTCTGCGCCTCCTTCCTGGCTGGGGGAACCCCTTAGTAACTCAGGGTGTGCACAGCAGGAGGCAGAGCTAGGAAAATGAAATTCTCTCCTCCTAGATGTACCCAAAATGGAACCCCACACTGCAGAGGACATCTGTCAAGATTAGCTATGTGGGTTTTGTCTGCTCTCTCCTCGCTCACCCCCATATTCCACCATACTCACATTAGGACGCCTCCCCCCTCACCATCCCCATACACTAGAAACAACCTCAAACTGTTGTAAAGCAACCCCGATACAAAACGGGGTGCCTGACTGTGGGTCCTCACCCGCACGCTTAAAAGGACTTATCAATGCTCTACTGCAGGCACACGCGAAAGGTTCATAAAAGGTTTATTTACAAGGGAAGGGGAAATGAGGAAATGGACAGCTCAGGGAGAAAAGTGGGAGACAAAGTTTTAAATGCGTCCTACCCGATCCGCCGATCAGAAATCCCAAATGGCGCTCTGAGAGCTGGCCGCCAGCCAGGAGCCCTGAAGCCAGGAGGCGAGCGATAGCCAGCCCCCGCAAGGCCCATGTGTTTGGTTTTTATACCCAACCTGGCTGCTTAACTCCACGCTCAGGTCCCAGCCACCCTCCCTTTGGTGGTGATGGGATTTGTCTTTCCCAATGTCCTGATGGCTTTAGTCTGGAGTGGGGGTGGGGTCCACAAAGCCTGTATGGGATTAGCTCAGGACATCCTTTCCCCCTAACAAAACCAATCCTGGCACATTTTCCTACCCAGTTCTGTTAGGGGGAAATGATGCCCTGAGCTAATCCCATACAGGCTTTGTGGACCCCACCCCCACTCCAGACTAAAGCCATCAGGACATTGGGAAAGACAAATCCCATCACCACCAAAGGGAGGGTGGCTGGGACCTGAGCGTGGAGTTAAGCAGCCAGGTTGGGTATAAAAACCAAACACGTGGGCCTTGGGGGGGCTCGCTATCGCTCGCCTCCTGGCTTCAGGGCTCCTGGCTGGCGGCCAGCTCTCAGGGCGCCATTTGGGATACCAGATCGGCGGATCGGGTAGGACGCATTTAAAACTTTGTCTCCCGGGCCTCCCCGGTGGCGCAGCGGTTGAGCGCTGGGCTGCGAAGCTGCCCGCGGCCCCGGCTGCTCCCCGGCCACCGGAGGAGGGTCCCACATGGCGCGCAGACCTCTCCTGCCGCCCGCTGCTCCCCTCAGCAGTGTACTTCGGTCCTTCTGCCTGCTCTGCTCCCCGCTCTGGCTCTGGTGAATTCTCTCACCCTCCCGCGCTTCTGACTGTACCCAGTGCATGTATAAACAAAAACAAAGAAAGAAAGAAAGAAAACATGCCTCTATATAAAAATAAAAAAAATAAAATAAATAAATAAAACTTTGTCTCCCACTTTTCTCCCTGAGCTGTCCATTTCCTCATTTCCCCTTCCCTTGTAAATAAACCTTTTATTAACCTTTCGCGTGTGCCTGCAGTAGAGCATTGATAAGTCCTTTTAAGCGCGGGTGAGGACCCACAGTCAGGCACCCCGTTTTGTATCGGGGCTGCCCTATGACAGTTCCACCTCGGATTCATTGACTGACAGTGCCCCTACCACCACCCACCACTCAAGCCAATCTATTATAAGACTGGCACGCTCCCCTGCCAGGCAGCTGGAGATGGGCGGTCGAACGAATGAGACAGAGCCACTAGCCTAAAAGACGTCACAGCCGAGTGGAGGCGGGCTGTGTAAACAAATAATTAACGCGGGACAAAAAAGATGCCCAGCTGAGCTGCGGAAGCCTCAGGCAGCTCAGCCTGCCGGCGGGAGGCGAGCACCCGCGGGGAGATGGACCCGAGGACCGCCACACCGGGGGTTCTCAATCGTTGGCTGGGGGGGGCGTGTCAGAATCGCCGGGGGTGTTTCTACACGTGACTGCCATCCCCGGAGCTCTGGCCCCAGGGAGAGCAGGTGGGTGGCAAGGCTCCTGCATCTCTTGCTTCCCGGTCGACTTTGTCCCTCGGTTCTCCAGAACCCGCGCTCCACTCTCCCTGGAGCCCCGGGATCCCTGGCGTGCGCCAGGGGCGCCCTAAGGAAAATGGACCCGCGGTGAGCGGCTGACGCGTTGCTACGGACACCGGGGCGGGGAGGGCCGGGCGCCACCACACAACGTCACCCCGGAGGCGACCCAGAGCCGACCCGGGCGGCGGACGGGACACGGCGCCCCGGCGCCCCGCCTCCAGAGCTGGGGGCGGGCGGCCGGGCGGCTCTGTCCAATCACAGTTCCCGGAGGAGGAAGGCGGACAAGTGTTCTCCAATCACAGCTTGCAGCGAGATGGATGCGTCCGTCCACCAATCCGTGCCGAGGCGCGAGGGGCTTGTCGGGAGCCAATATGGCGCCCTCACTGGGATCGGGGTGAAAGTGCTGTCCGGCCGCAGCTCTTCTCCCGCCCCATCATGTTGGTGCACTTATTTCGGGTGGGGATTCGGGGAGGCCATGTCCCAGGCAGAACGCTACTGCCCCTCCGCTTCCAGACATTCTCGGCCTTCAGGTAAAAAGGGACAAACCGACCGGGGCCGGGGGCCGTGACCGGCCGGCAGGCGGCGGGCCGCCGGGAGATGGAGTCCCGGGCTCGCGCGAGGCTTGCTGGGAGTTGTAGGCCGGCCGGGTGGAATGTCACTCCCTGGGGGATTGGCCTCAATTATTTACTGTGATGATGCAGGTGCGGCCCGTCCAGGTACAGCCGGAAGCTCCGTGTCTCTGGGTCGGCGATCCCGCCCGGTCCTGCTCACCACCAGGGGGCGCCGTGCTGCCCGGGCGGTGGTCTTGGAACTGGCCCGGCCCTTTGGACAAAAATTCTTAGTGACACTTAGAGTTATTGGTGGGGCGCCCAGGATTCAGAGTGAGCTGAACAAAATGGTTCCTCTCCCTGGGTACTTTCATCACAGATAAAGGATCTGGTAGCTCGGACGTGTGTTTGCCTTACACGCTTTGGTCCACACACAGATGAACAAAAGCCCTGTAACTCCCACTCCAGTGTAAATGCTTTACTTCTAAACCTGAGGGGCCAGGCAGGCAGAGATTCACTGGGTGTGGATCCAGAGCTGTGACTGTTTGGGAAGGCCATCTGACGGATAGATGGCAAGCGCTGTCCTGGCTGGAGCTGGAAGTACTGCTGCTGGGAAATAACCCTCCTGTGCTTGGCAGTGACCGAGAGCTTTTTAGACCTTTGCAGAAGAGAGAAGCTGGGGAGTGGCGTGGTAAATTATTAAAGGGCTTGAACACAGCCCTTAGAAAAGAGTAAGGGTGTTGATATTTTTTAAACCAGAGAGAAAACCAAGGAGAGACATCAAATAACATTCAAGTGTTTGTGTGTTCACTAGTGCAGGGGTTTTCAAAAGTGCAAGTCGTGACACAATAGAGTATGAAATGAATTTAGTGAGTCGGGGCCATTTGGAAGTGAGTGTAAGAGAAAATACCAGAATACACGGTAAGAAAATCAGGAAAGTGTTGTTTCATGAAGCATTTCAACTGTGTGATATGGTCCTGCTACTGGGTCACAGTGAAAACTGCTCCTTTGTCGGCCTTAGTAGGTCTGCAGAAGTGCTAACACCGCAGTTCGTGGGTCCAGTCAGATTATTCTGCATCTCTAGTGAAGTCAGGCCCTCAACAAACAATGTTTACTGACCCCCATTATGTACCAGAGCTCTCCGTGCCAGGGGTGCCAGCATGACTAAGACTGGGAAGTTGGACAGCTACACAGGGCAGGGAGGGCGAGTGCCCCCACCTCAAGTGCAGGCTCGACACCAAGGCCACAGCGGGCAATCCGAGGGAAAAGCAAGCGGGGGTGCTGGGGTGGACAGCATAATCTAGAGCAGGCAAGAAGCACAGGCCTCCTTGAATTGGGGCAGTGGGATGAAGCCTGCAACCAGGAGTGTCCGGGAACATCCCAGCCTGTCACCCGGAAGGACAAGCCTCTCCTTTTGGAGAAGCCTTTCCCCCCCTCATTGGGATTTGTTCCCCCCTTCTCTCTTGGCCTGGTTGTCACTTCTGTTTCTAAGGACTGCCTTGGCCGCCCTGTGGCCAGTCCTCTCCTCCAGCCTCACCCTCTGCTATGGTCTTTCAAATGCAAATCTGATTGGGTCACACCCCAGCCTAAAAACCAGGATAGGCCTTGTCACTCTCGAAAGTCCTGGTGTTTTATAAAACTGCTTCTCCCACCAGTACCACGATTCCCTTCTCCTTTCCCTACGTGTCACCCCACCCCTCCACCTGGAGCTCTCCCCACTCTGTCCCCCACACCCCCACCTGTTCACCTTGGAGCCTCACTGGGAAGTCCTTTCCTGACCTCAGGCAGGGGGAGCGGCATGGGCTCTGTGCTCTCACGCACTCCCACCATCCATCATTGTCCTCCCCACATGGGTGGCCTGTTACTAGAGCAAAGACCAGTGACCTGGGCCTATTTGAAGTGGCAGGAGATAGTGACGGGCTGCGTTCTTAGGTTTGTATTCTTTCTGCTGACTGGGCGGGCACATGTTGCTCTTTCCCTCCACTCCAGTGTCACATCAGCCTGGGTGACGACGGGGTGACAGGGCGTGACGAGCACGGACTGGCGGTCTGGAGCCGGGTCCAGCCCTGGCCTGCCCCCCCCAGCCTGAGCCGGGCCACCCACAGAGACAACAAGCAGGTTCCGGGACCCGGCAGCAGAGGTCCCCGCCTGTCCCAGTCCTGCCACTTGGGGACAGATTCTTTGAACTCCCTCATCCCCGTGTGACTATTTTCCTCTGTCAGCAAGAACCGGGGCCTCCCCTCCCAGGGCCGTGAGGACCAAACACGCGACTGTTACGAGGTGGACTCACCTCCTGCGCCAGCGTGGCTGGGCACGGGGGCGGCCCTGCCCTCTGAGCCCGGCTGCCCAGGGCCTAGCGCACCCCAGTCTGTAGAAGTGGTGCCCTCTGAGCCCTGCTGCCCGGCGGCTCTGGCTGGCGACGGTCCCTGGGCTGAGACCGGTGCCACTGGAGGGGACGGGGCCCTGGGGGCCTTTCCGCCTGCAGACATGTTTCTGTCTCTTCCTTGGCAACCTTGCACGTGCACTGTGCGTTGCTCTCAGAGACTGAAGTCCTTAAGAACCGGCCTGAGAAGGGCAGCGACGCACCTGGCAGAGAAGCAAGCGCTCGTCTTGGAAGTTCAGCCCAGCAGGCCGCGCATCTGCCAGCGGGAAGACCGTCGCGCCTCGGGCCCTCAGTGCCATTCTCTCCCTGCAGGAGCACCGATGGCCCTGGCTCCTATCTGCTCCGGGCTGTGGCCCAGCTGCGCGTCCAGCTCTGGGCCCGCCCGCCTCAAGCACGCCTACCTCCCTGCCGAAGGCCCTCTGCCTGGCGCTGGGTTGGGGGCGTCCTCCTGGGCCCCGCGGCACTGAGTCTGGGCCCCCGCCTCTACCTGGTGGCACTGTGTGAGGCTGAAGAGGCCCTTCCCGCACGCCCCAAAACCTGTGCCGTGGAGGCCCACTTTAACTGGAAGCTCTTCTGGCAGTTTCTGCATCCCCACCTGCTGATCCTGGGGGCAGCCGTCGTGGTGAGGACCCCCCGCACGCGGGGCAGGGAGGCACCCAGTCAGAGCTCCGCGGGGACAGCTTCCTGCCTCGCCGAGTCTCGGAGACCCCAGGCGGCAGGGGCAGGCTGGCTCGGGAATGGGGGGCCAGGGATGCCAGGAGCACCCTCACCCGGCTGCTGGGGCCACGGGGGCCCCCGGGGCTGACAGCCGGGGCTTTGCCTCTCAGAGAGGCTCAGAAACAGCCATGCCGTGGGCAGCAGCTGAGAGGAGGGGCCGCGGTCAGGGGCTTTGGTAGGGAAGACCATGGCCCCCTCTAAGCCGCGCCTCCCCCAGATGGCACTGGGCGCGGCGCTGGCGAATGTGCAGATCCCCCTGCTCCTGGGCCAGCTGGTGGAGATCGTGGCCAAGTACACGAGGGACCACGTGGGCAGCTTCCTGACCGAGTCCCGGAACATCAGCGCCCACCTGCTCCTCCTGTACGGCCTCCAGGTACAGAGCAGGAGGGTCTGGGGGCGCACAGGAGCCGCCGTGCCCTGGACCCCCGTCAGTGCCCGCCTCTCCCCCAGGGGCTGCTGACCTTCGGGTACCTGGTGCTGCTGTCCCGCATCGGCGAGCGCATGGCCGTAGACATGCGAAGGACCCTCTTCAGCAACCTGCTCCGGTACGGCCCGGCGGGTGTGGGCAGGGCTGCCCAGTGTCTGCCAGGGAGCCCGGTGAGCGTCAGGGTGGGCAGCTGCGTCCTGAATCACATCTCCCTCTTTCCCCCACATCCCGCCACCAGACAAGACATTGCTTTCTTTGACGCGACAAAGACAGGGCAGCTGGTGAGCCGACTGACCGCTGACGTGCAGGAGTTCAAGTCCTCCTTCAAGCTCGTCATCTCCCAGGTCAGTGCCTTGGTCTCCCCTGAGTGGGCAGCCCAGTCTCGTCCCGAGAGGGCCGCCTGGCTTTACCCTGGCGGAGGCTCACCCCACAGCCGGGAGCCGTCTGGTGCGGGTGTGGTGGGGATTGAGGAGCGCAAGGCGGGAGGTACCACGAGTCCAAGGTCAGAACAGGCCGTTTCTCTGCTCTTCTGAAATCCTGCCTCCCAGAAAGCCCTCTAGGGGCCCCAGACGGGAGCTTTCCCGACCAGCGTGCCAGGCGCCAGGCCACTCCGCCTGCTTTGCCCCGGAAGGCCTGGCTCGCTGACAGCCCTCCCCGCCCCCCACATCGTCACTGTGGCTGCTGGGTGACTCCAGACCCTGCCTGTCGCCATCACCCTCCTCTCATTGTCCCGCTGCCAGGGCAGAAAGAAGCCAGTGGGGCTCTCCGGGGAGATGCTCCAGTCCCTTCCTGTCCACCGGGCGAGGCGTTACCTGCTGGGAGACCAGTGGCTTCCCCGGGTCAGACCTGAGCCTTGGCCTTGGGAGGGTGGAGCTGTTGCCCAGCTGGAGGTGCTGGTGTGAGCCAGCCCCCCGGCCACTTCCACCCCCAGGGACTGCGAAGCTGCACCCAGGTGGTTGGCTGCCTGGTGTCCCTGTCCATGCTGTCCCCGCGCCTCACTCTGCTGCTGATGGTGGCCACGCCCGCCCTGATGGGTGTCGGGAGCCTGATGGGCTCAGCGCTCCGCAGGTTGTCTCGCCAGTGTCAGGAGCAGGTACCGAGTTCCCGCCTGTCCGGCCCACCTCGTTCCTCTCTGCCACGCACCCCTCCATCCATCCTCCCTGGCTCCGAACTGGCCCCCAATTGCTTGGACTCTGCAGATCGCCAGGGCAACGGGCGTAGCGGATGAGGCCCTGGGCAACGTGCGGACCGTGCGCGCCTTCGCCATGGAGCAGTGGGAAGAGGAGTGAGTGGGGAGCAGCGGTGGGGTACCGAGCAGGGAGGGTGTCCCAAGCTCACCCCGGTCACCTCCGCCTCGTCCTGTCCCAAGTGCTGATCTGGGCCTTTGTCCCCAGGCGCTACGGCGCGGAGCTGGAGGCGTCCTGCTGCAAGGCCGAGGCGCTGGGCAGGGGCATCGCGCTGTTCCAGGGGCTGTCCAACATCGCCTTCAACTGTGAGTGCGGGCCGGGCCCACTGTCCACGGGGTCTATTGGGGGGGTTGGGGAGGCTCCCTTCAGCCCTTATCTCAAATGCCAAGTGAAGGCAGGGACTGGCCCGAGCGCTAGTCCATCAAGGCCGGGTCGGGTCGGGAACCTGGGGCTGCTGCTGCTCGGCCACGCCTGTCCTCTGCTGCAGCCACCATCCCCCTGACCCCCGTCCCGCCCCGCAGGCATGGTCCTGGGCACCCTGTTCGTCGGGGGCTCTCTTGTGGCGGGACAGCAGCTGACGGGGGGAGACCTCATGTCTTTCCTGGTGGCGTCCCAGACTGTACAGAGGTGAGTGGGGGCGGGTCCCCCCCCAAGAGTGCTGCCAGGGCTGGCGCGGCGCAGGGGCACCGGCCAAGCGTCCCGTGGGTGTCACGCTTTCCACACTGTGGGAGGACCTGCATGGCAGGGACCCTTCCCCGTGTGGAAGCAGAGTCTGCAGCATCACTTACCTTGCCATGTGGCCGCCCAGCATCCTTCGGCACCACTGAGTCTGTCCCCCTGAAACGCTAGGCCCCTGCCCGGCCCCCCATCCTCCCCTCCCTGTGTGTCTGATGACACGGGCCTCACGACCTACTCGTGGCGCTCGGCACCACACGGGTTCATCGGTGTCTGAGCATCGCCCCCTTGTCAGCCCAAGTCAGTGGCCAGAAAAGCACATCAGGTGGGGGCACCCCATCTTGGACGTGGTCTGAGAGCTGCCCGCGCTAGTCTGGCCCCTGCAGATGAGCGCCCACCCCAGTGGCTCATTGCTTCCGGTTGCTCTGAGATCTGCCTGCCCTGCTGGGCTCTGCGGCACCCCACTGGCGCAGTGGGAACACCTCAACCTCTCGTGGACCAACGAGCCCCCAAAGCAGGCCCCCCTTTCCCATCTCTTCTAAAACACAACACAAGCAGTTCCTCCCGCACTGCCCTTTGCTCCGCCTCTCCCCACGCTCTCCGGGTGCCCGGGCACGGCCGGCCTGAGTATACGTTCTCGTGCATGATTAAAGAGCTTGCTGGAATGAACAATTGAAGAGGAGGATTGGGGCTCACCAGTGTGAGCAAGAAAACAGCATCCCCCAAGATGCCCCCCAGGTGCTCCCAAGTCTGGCTCCCCCCCCCCCACCATTCTTGCAGAATTCCTTACCATCTCCTTCTTGGCTTAGGGGCTCCCCAGACATGGCCACAAACCCAACATCTCACTCATTTCTGGAGCCATACTGGCATCATCCTGAACCCCATCTTTCCATGCTGCTCCCTGGTCTGGGCCCCTACATCCTCTGGTTCTGAGCACCCAGTCCCTGCTCGAACCTGGGAGCTGTTCTCTGGTGGCCTTGGGATGACGAGGCTCTGATGCTGTGGAGATGGGGGCTTCCCTCTGCCGCCCCCAGTGCTGACTCATCTCCCCCCACCAGGCCACGCTTTGGCCTTGTGGGCACCTTGTGGTGCCATCCAAGCCCCTGGCTCGCTCGTGTAGTCACCCGGAGGCCGTCCGTGGGAGTAGGGCGGAGCCATGGTGGGCTCTCTACCCATGTGGCGGCCATCCCCAGGTCTAGGTCCCCTGAGACTCCCCTTCCCCAGCCCCTCCTGCATGGCCAGAGGTCGGGCCCTCTCAGCCCTTCCCTCCGCACGGCCTGTGGTGTCACAGCTCCACACGGGGCTCTCACCAGTGGCGTCTTCTCCAGCCAAGGTGTGGTGCCTTGGGCCTTTTCCTCACTAAAGAAGGTTATGTGTCTCCCTCAAGGCTACAGAGAAGATTGGGGGCAGCCTTAGGCTTTGGAGCCCACATCCTAAGTGTTCTTTCCAGTGGTACTGGGTCCTGGAGGCGATGGGGGTGCCCAGCAGACCACAAGCAGGCCAGGCAACCTCGTCCAAGTCCCGTGTGGTCCGGGCCTCACTGGGAATGGCCCCCCCCAGCCAGGCCTCTGGGCAGGACCCCTCACCCCTAGCTTCTGAGCCATCTCTCAGGGCAAGGTCATCGCCCGCCCACCAGCCTCCCGTGTCTGGCTTTCAGTTGCTGCCCAACATCTCTGCCAGCCCTAATGGCTGCCCGGCCTCTGATGGAGAACCTCCCTGCCCATCAGCAGCCAACTCTGGGTCCTGGCCAGTCCTTGCTCCAGGCCTCCTTTGCCCTTTGGCAAGTGGATCGATGTCTGGGTGCCTGCCAGAGCCTTTCCTTGTGGATTTGGGGGCTCCTCCCCTGCTGCTGGAGCCACGAGACTGCCAGGGAGTCAGTGTTCCCTTCAGGGGAGCGACCACTGTCTAGAGTGACACACGCACAAGCCCACAGTCTGCAGGGGGTGGGGGCACCCAGGGGTCCTCTGCCTTGTCCTTCTTTGTCTGCAAGGACCTCACATTCGCTTTCCACCTTTATTTGACTTCAGTCCGTGAATTCCCCAGGTCCCCATGGTCGTGCCAGGCCTCAGCCCGGCCTCTCAGAGCAGCAGCGGCACAGGCTGCGGGCAGGCAGCAGGGCCTCCTACCCCCTAAGTCCTCGGCCTACTTTCTGTGTGGCTTCTTCCCTGGAGCCGCTGTCCTGAGGCCACTGACAGTTGTCAGGCCTCACTGGGAATGGCCCCCTCCTGCCAGGCCTCTGGGCAGGACCCCTCACCCCCAGCTTCTGAGCCACCTCTCAGGGCAAGGTCATCGCCCGCCCACCAGCCTCCCGTGTCTGGCAAGGAGAGAGCCCGCCTGGGTGGCCAGTTCTGGGTGTTCTCTTTGATGGCCGCGTCCTTGCCTCACCCAAGGCCCCCATGCCGGTGAGCCCAGCCCTCGCTGCGGCCCCCTCGGCGCAGGCTCTCACCCCGTCTCCCCTCCTCCTCACAGGTCTATGGCCAACCTCTCTGTCCTGTTCGGTCAGGTGAGTGGCAGAGTCAGGGTGCCCTGAGGGTCAGACACCAGATCTGAGCTGGCGTTGCCTACCCCGCCCCGCTGCCCCACTCCCCTGACTGCAGTCTGACTCCACCCCCAGGTGGTGCGGGGCCTCAGCGCCGGTGCCCGAGTCTTTGAGTACATGACCCTGAGTCCGGGCATCCCGCTGTCCGGGGGCTGCCGCGTCCCCAAGGAGCACCTGCGTGGCTCCGTCGCTTTCCAGAACGTTTCCTTCAGGTCAGTACCCCGCTGGCCGCGGGCTGGGCCTGGGGGGACCGGTGGGTCCAGGCCTCCCTCTGAATAAGCCGCCCAGGGGTACAGCGAGTCTTTACAGGGGACCCAGACCGCAAGGGGCTGGGCCCGGGTCTGATGGAGGTCTCTTGGCTCCTCCCAGCTACCCCTGCCGGCCCGGCTTCCCGGTGCTCAGAGACTTCACCCTCACGCTGCCCCCTGGCAAGATGGTAGCCCTGGTGGGCCAGTCCGGGGGAGGTAAGAGGAACGCCTGGCCCTGGCCACAGGGGGCTGGGAGAAGGGGCCCCTCTACTCCACCACGGCTCCCTTTCCTGGCACGTGCTCCAGAAAGCAGGCCCCTCCCTCACTGCCCTGCTCCCCAATTCCCAGGCAAGACCACCGTGGCGTCCCTGCTGGAGCGCTTCTACGACCCCACGGCCGGCGTGGTGAGGCTGGACGGGCAGGACCTGCGCACCCTCGACCCCTCCTGGCTCCGGGGCCAGGTCATTGGCTTCATCAGTCAGGTGTGAGGCGACTCCCCTCAGCGCCTGCCCCCACCCCCGCCCAGCGAGTCTTTAACTTCCACCTGCCCGGATTCCCGCCTCCCTCTCAGGCCTCTGGCACCTGGACCTGCCTGCTCCCAGGGCTTTGGCCCTCCTCAGCGGGCCGTAGGCTGGGGAGGTTGTTATAGGACCCCTGGTTGCTCTGACAAGTGTGTGGTGTCCAGCAGGCCCAGAGGTTCTCACTGGGGACTGCTGGTGGCCCACTACCCACCAAGCGACACCCCACAACCTGGCCCTGAACACTGTGGCGCCACCATGTTTTCTGTAGGAGGCCCACCCTCCCGTGTGTGGGTAACCAGGGCACCCTGACCGAGCCAGAGAAAAGCAAAGCACAGGCCCCCCTCCCTAGCTCACCAACCACCACCCCAGTCCTGGACCCTGTTCCTGAGGGACACCAGCCCCGGGGGCTCGGCCTCTCCCCGCCTTCATGCGCCCTTCTGTGCTCCTTTGAGCCGTGGTTTGGAATCGACCGGCCTGCCCTCCAGAGAGTCCCGTCTGACCCAGATAGCCTCCCCTGGCCCTCAGGGCTTCAGGGCACAGTGAGAACATTTCCTGTGGACACCCCCGCCCCAGGAGCCTGTCCTGTTCGCAACGACAATCATGGAGAACATTCGTTTTGGGAAGCCAGATGCCTCCGATGAAGAGGTGTACGCGGCTGCACGGGAAGCCAATGCCCACGAGTTCATCACCAGCTTCCCTCAAGGCTACAACACTGTTGTGGGTGAGTCCCCCCAACCCGTGGTGTGAGGGGGTGGCGCCCCAGGAGCCCGGGCCTCAGGAAGGCCAAGGGGGCAGAGATGGTGCTGTGGGGAGGGAGCACAGGCCCGAGCAGGCCGTGTTAGGGGCCAGCACGGGAGGGGGGGAGCTTGAAAGCAGCGGCAGGAGCAGCCAGCGTCACTGAGTGACCTCGCTCCCTGTCACTCTGTCCTTTGATTCCTTGACTGCACCTGCTTCTCTTGGCATCCCTGGGTCCAACTTGGTTGAGAGGGCGTCTCTTCTGACTTCCCCAGGAGAGGGCTTGGAAGGTTCTGGAACACTGCAGCGGGGCGAGTCGTGCCAGACAAGGCTCCTGCCTCAGCTCTGCGTGGGTCAGAGGGCCCTTCTGCTGGGACCTCGGGACGGGTGGAGCTGGGCTCTCAGCTCCCTCCTGAGTGTTGGGCCAGCCTGGCTCAGCACCAGCTCTGCGTGTCTGAGCTGTCCTAGGGTGCGTTCCTTCACGCAGAGTTACTGACCACTCCGGTATGCAGGGCCCAGCCCCCACACTGTCCCCACCCTGGGCGGAGCCTCTCCTTGTTCCCCTGACCCCAGCACCTGCCCTGGCTCCGCTGGGTCTCCAGTCGCCCCTGGCTGCTCTGGGGTGCTGTCCCCTTGAGGCTCATTTCGTTCCCTGGCTTCCGCCCCTGCAATTCAGCCCCCAGTGTGGCGTTTGAAGAATGCCAGGGCATGAGCTTCAGCTCCCACCAGGCTGTCACTGCACCCCCCCACCCCAGGTCCTGAAAATCCCCACAGCAGCCGGCTAGGAGCAGGCTGCAGCTTCAGGGCCCTGCAGGGCTCTGAGGCCCTCGGAGGGTACTGGGGCGCTGGGTGGCCCTGGCTCCATGAGCCGACTGTGGGACCCGTGTCACCCTGTGCACGTGTGCGCATGTGTCTGCATGGAAGCTGCCAAGAGGCGCCCCTTCTGCCCTCAGAGAGGGTCCTGAGGAGCCAGATTGGACATTCCAGACAGACCACCCCCTTGGCGGCACACCCCCTTCAGCTGAGGGTCGCTCACACCCCTGCCCATGTCTTCCTCTGCAGGAGAGCGGGGCGCAACCCTGTCTGGTGGCCAGAAGCAGCGCCTGGCCATTGCCCGCGCCCTCATCAAGCAGCCCCTGGTGCTGATCCTGGACGAGGCCACCAGCGCACTGGACTCGGAGTCTGAGCGGGTTGTGCAGGAGGCCCTGGACCGCGCCAGCGCCGGCCGCACCGTGCTGGTCATCGCTCACCGCCTCAGCACCGTCCGGGGCGCCCACCACATCGTTGTCATGGCCCACGGCCGCGTCTGCGAGGTCAGCCCCCTGAGGGTCCCCAGTTTCACTCTGACAGTGGAACGAGTGGCTCTGCTGGGCCGCGGGGCCCGCCCATGGGTCTAGGCTCCTGGCTTCAGATACCCTGGGCCTCGGGCCTGCTTGGGGCACGGCACTCTCTGACTCGGGGGACCAAAGCGAGAAGCTCCGGTGTTTGCAGGGTCAGTGAGCGCTGGGCCGGAGGTGGGGCTGCAGCGGGGCTGTGGCTCTGGCCTGCACAGGCCTCTGGGCTGCAGTTTTCTGCTCTGTGAGGGGTAGACCGGCGGACACAGGTGCGGGCCGTCCCTTCAGGGCCCTGCTTTGGTTTCAGAAGCTCAGGTGTGCTGAGGCCTCAGGCTGTGAGCACTGAGCTAGGTTGTGGTGACCATCTGCCCTTTGTCCCCTCCTAGATGGGCACCCATGAAGAGCTCCTGAAGAAAGGTGGGCTCTATGCGGACCTCATCCAGAGACAGGCCCTGGACGCCCCCACCGCCAAGACTCCCAGAGGCCCCGGGAGCCGCCACCCTGAGTCCTGAGATGCACCCTGAGGTCTGGTCACCGCTGAGCCTGGGGCCAGGGCTGCTGGGGGAGCTCCTGAGGGCCACAGCCTCTGCCCCACTGACCACAGTAAAGGGGCCGGCGCAGGCAGGAGGTGCAGCCTCCCTTGCCCTCCCCTCCGTGCCAGGCTGCTGCCTGCTGCCAGAGCCACTTGCTGGGCTGCATGGGTGGGGCAGTGACCTCTGGCCCCTCTGCCCCATCCTCCCTTTGCCCAAACCCCCCCACCCCAGCCCTCAGAAACCTTCCTTCTCCCCTCCGCCCACTGCCTGAAGGTGGCCAGGCCTGGCGCCAGGGCACCCGTGCAAATCTGGACTTGGGGGTGAGGATTCAGATGAGGCTCCCTTCCCTCTCCACACTCAGCCCTTACCCTTCAGCCTCTGCCCCCCACTCTGTGAGAGAAGAAGCCCCATTCCCTGCCCCATTAACAGCCCCTACTCCAGATGACTGCCCCCCAGTCCAAGTGGGATGGGTCCCAGACACGTACCAGCCTGTCCAGTGAGCGTCTTAGGAGCAGGCACGCTGGAGGCCATTTCCTAGTCTGGCCTGCCCCCAGGCACCACCCAAGCCCCTAGCCGAGCACACACCACCTGAAGGGGCCTGGGAAGAGCCCCGCCCCTAGGATGCAGCCTCAGGCATGTGGGGTGAACAGTCACCAGGCCAAAGAGAGCTTGATGGCAGCCTAGATGGCAGCCTCGGGCTGACAAATACCTAGTCAACCCCAGAGGTGGGACAGCAACTCTGCCTCGAGGGAGGCTTAGGCTCTCCAAGCTGTGAAAGAGGCAGGGCTAGCTTCCCATGGGCTTCTGAGGGTTCCGGAAAGGTGCAGCTGAAGGACCTTCGGATCGAACTGGCATCCTGAGGCCACCGGGCTCCCCTGTGTGTCCTCCCAGGGCTGGGTTCTGCCCCTGTTGCTCCCCTCCCCGCCCAGAACCTTCCCACAGCCGCTTCTGGGCTAAGAATTCCACCCAGCCCTGCTCCCTCAGGTGCAGGAGGGGAGTGCCTGTGCAGACCTGCCAGCCAGCCAGCATCTGGAATCTGCCTGTGGGCCCAGGGCGGTGCTGCTGGGTCTCCAGCAATGGGCTGGAGCAGCAGAGTCAGCTGTAGCTGGAAGCCAGCCTGGAAGAGGGAGCAGTGACTCCGGTGTGGGTACAGGAGCCCAGGCTGAGGGCCCACCCAGGCTCTGCCAGTGCTACTTTGGGGTCAAAACACCCATATTTATCCCAGGCTGACCCCTGACATCCTGACGTGTCACATCCCAGGGCAGCTGCCGCCCAAGAAGCAGAAGGCCAGGCAGGCTCCAGCTGCTGTGCCACCAAACCCCTCCCCACAAGAGCAGCCTCCGCCGGTGTGCGGTGGCACCGTCTGGAAGAGCAGCCCAGGCCAGGCGGCTCCTCCACTGCTCTGGCCCTGGCCGGGCTGCCGGACACCTTGACACCGCATGCCGGGTCTCCTTCCCTCGTCAGGGGGACACCCCCAGGCCCTCACGCCAGGAAAACAGTGACATCCAGTCGCGCACTCACTCGGGCCTTAACCTCGAGCTTGGCTCCTGCTGTGGGCGCCGACCGGAAGCCAGGCTGCACTTAATCTCGAGAGCTTGTTTGAAGACTAAACGGGATAACCTGTGGTCAACTCGACACTGCTGGTGCTGCAACTTCCGACGGTGGTCAGGACTGGGCAATAAACCTTTAGCCACCGGCTGTGTCCTGTTCCTTAAGCCCCTGTCCTCTGCCACCGCGCCGCGGTCAGGGACAAGGCCTCCCTGCCCCTGGTCTCAGGACACACGGGGCACAGGTGACCGCAGCTCGGCGTCGGGTGAACTATGTCGTTTTCTGCTCCCAGCCCGCGGTGTGCACCCGGGGTCCTCGAGTGCTTTGTCGGAGGAGACGGAATAGAAGTGATTTCTGTCAGCAAGGTCGTGCTCTCTCTCTGTCCTGCAGCGCCACGGCTCCCACTTCCGGGCCCCCGGAGGCCAGGAGCAAAGCTCCCATGGGCGGGGCTCGTTGGGCCCTGACCGCCCCACACGGCCTGCTGGCGCGGCCCCTGTGGCCCCGAGTCGGGCCCTTGACTCGCAGCTGCCCAGCCTCTCTGCTGCCCGCTCGCCCCCTGCACCTCTGCGGAGCCCACGCCGCCCCGGACCCTGGTTCTGCCCCTGCAGACGCCTGTTTTGGAGGTGTCTGTCCCCCGCCCCCACCGCTGTCCCCGCGGGTCGTCTGCAGCATCCTCGGGCCGGCGCCCGGGCAGAAAGGGCGTGTCCGTGGCGCAGAGGCCCACGCCGGAGCGGCTCCCGCGGCGGGCACGGCGAGTCGTCCCATCACCTGGCCGGCCTCGGCCTGGCCTTTGCTTCAGGGGGCTCGGCTCTGCACGCGCTGCTGAGAGCCCTCTGCTGCGAGAGGCGGGAAACCCCCATGACCATGATGGGGGCGTGAGCACGCAAGCGGGGTGCGGCGGCATGATGGGGTAGCGCGCAGTCGCCAAGGACGGGGACACGCTCCGGGGCCCGGGGGTCGCGTGCTCCCGAGACAAAAAAGACGTGAGCTCCCCGGGCACACGCGTTCCACCTGGGGCCATGGCGCGAGCCCCCGCCCGGGCAGAGGCAGGAGGGCCTGAGCAGAGGCAGTGGGAAGGGGGTCCTTCGAGAGAGACGGCCCCTGGCCCTGGGCCTGAAGAGGCCGGGCCGTCGCCGGGACGCTGGGGGCTCAGAAAGAGGAACCCGGCGCAGCCAAACTCCCACCACTGGCCAGCTTGGTCACGGGCCAGCCCCGCTCTCCGTGAGAGGACAAATCCCGGGCAGGAGAGCGGGGAGGGCGGGCGGGGCTGGGTCAAGGGTCAGCGGCTGACCTCGGGCTGGACTTCACGGCGCTCGGCTGGGAAGCTGCAGACCCACAAGTCACCCGGCCTCAACTCCCCCTGGCCCCTGCAAGCCCCACCCAGGACAGCGGTGGTTTCCCGCTGGCGCCTCTGGCCTCCACAGGCCCCCCCCATCCCACAGCACTAATGGCTCAGCCTGGGGCCCCAGGGACCTCCCCCCCCAGACTGCTCTGCCGGCCCCCCGTCCCCCTCGCTGCTGAAACCCAATCCTCTGCGGCAGCTCAGGCTCGGCGGAGCAGCCTCCAGCACAGCCGTCCTCTTCCAGGCGCCCGCGCCCTACCTGCTCCTTGCTGCAGAGCCCAGCCCGGCGCCGAGCCCGGAGCAGCCTCGGCCGGTTCCTGGGGGGCCGCGCAGGACGACCGGACACCGCACCCTCCAGCCAGGCCAGTGCCACCCCACCGCGGGCTTGGCTCCTCTCCTCGCCCCACCTGCAGCGACCCTCGCCCGGCCCCCGCATCCTCGCTCGCCCCCAGCCCCGGACCGGCTCACTCTCCTTCCCAGCCCCGCCAGCCCGGCCCCGGGGCCTGGGCTCCGGTCATGAAGCCCCACTGCGGGCCAGAGGAGGCCCGACGGCCGACCTCAGACATCCGCGTGTTCGCCAGCAGCTGCACGCTGCACGGGCTGGGCCACGTCTTCGGCCCCGGGGGCCTGACGCCGCGCCGCGCACTGTGGGCCCTGGCCGTGCTCCTGTCGCTGGCCGTCTTCCTCTACCAGGTGGCGGGCCGCGTGCGCTACTACAGGGAGTTCCACCACAAGACGACCCTGGACGAGTGCGAGAGCCACCGCCTCACCTTCCCGGCCGTGACCCTGTGCAACATCAACCCGCTGCGCCGCTCGCGCCTCACGCCCAACGACCTGCACTGGGCCGGGCCCACGCTGCTGGGCCTGGAGCCGCACGAGCACGCCGCCTTCCTGCGCGCCCTGGGCCGGCCCCCCGCGCCGCCCGGCTTCATGCCCAGTCCCACCTTCGACATGGCCCGACTCTACGCCCGGGCCGCGCACACCCTGGAGGACATGCTGCTGGACTGCCGCTTCCGAGGCAGGCCGTGCGGGCCCGAGAACTTCACCACGGTGAGCTGGCCAAGCCCTGGGGACCCGGGGCTAAGCCCTGGGGACCCGGGGCTCCCGCCAACCCAAGCCCGAACCCAAAGGCCTGGTCTTACCAAAGCCAGGGAACCTTGCCACTCTCGCCCGAGGAGCCCGTCTTCCCCAGCCAGGCCATGTCCCCCACCCACCCCAGTGCCTTTCTGTCCAGCCCAGGACACTGTCCTTCTTGGGGCCCCTCCCTGGCACCCAGCCAACTGCAGTGCAGCACGTGCACACTCGCCCAGCCTGGCTCTGAGGTCTGGTGTGCATACACTGTTCTGGGGGTGGGGGTGCGAGGGCTGGGGAGTCTCTAGTGGGCCTGCACTAGGGCAGAAGGCCCCTTACTCTGCCGGGGCGCTGGGACTTGTGTTCTGCCTGCCTCTTTCACATTCGCCAGCCCCAGAGGGCCCGAGGCCTTCCAAAGAACACCTGTGCCCTCTGGAAGTGATGGGGCGGGAGGGTTCACCTCCAAGCGCCTGCATGAGGGCGGTGCTGAGACGTGGGCTTGGTGTTCAAAGGGGGGACGAAGGAGGCCTGTGGTCCTGTGTTGGCATGGGGGAAGGGCTGGCGGGCTTGCTGCTCTGCTGAGCTGTCACCTCTGCCCCCCGCCCCCTGAGATCTTCACGCGGATGGGCCAGTGCTACACATTTAACTCTGGCACCAACGGGGCCGAGCTTCTCACCACACCCCGGAGCGGTGCAGGCAATGGGCTGGAGATCATGCTGGACGTCCAGCAGGACGAGTATCTGCCCGTGTGGAAGGACACAGGTAGGAGAGCACATGCGCAAGCTGGGGGTGCGCAGATGGGTGCCGAGGGAAGGAGAGGGTGCTGGGCAGGCTCTGAAGGCGTATCCTGTCGGGTTGGCGCAGCACAACCTGGGGAGAGGGGGTGTACAGCAGAGGGCCCCCTGGGACTCGGGCCTCAGGGCCCCCCTCCCCCTGCAGAGGAGACCCCATTTGAGGCGGGCATCCGAGTGCAGATCCACAGCCAGGAGGAGCCGCCCAGCATCGACCAGCTGGGCTTTGGGGTGGCCCCAGGCTACCAGACCTTCGTGTCCTGCCAGCAGCAGCAAGTATCCTGGCCTTGCCTCCCGAGCCCTCCTCAGCACCCCCCCCACCCCAGGGCTCCAGCCCACCCCGCAGCTCACACCCCCCTGGGCTCACTCTCCAGCTCTCTCCTTAACCAGCCCCCGACAGCTGAGCTTCCTGCCCCCGCCCTGGGGCGACTGCAGCTCCGTGTCTCTGGACCCTGACTTTGAGCAGGAACCATCTGGTCCCCTGGGTGCCCCGAGCCCCACCCCAGGCCCTAGCCCTCCCTATACCCTAATGGGGTGTCGCCTGGCCTGCGAAAGTCGCTACGTGGCTCGGAAGTGCGGCTGCAGAATGATGCACATGCCGGGTGAGGGGCGGAGGCGGGGGGCGGAGGGTCTCACGGTGGGGCAGGGGGTGTGAGGGGCCGGGCCCTCCTGGAGCTGCCTCCCTCTCCCGCAGGCAGCGCGCCCGTGTGCAGCCCCCAGCAGTACAAGGACTGCGCCTACCAGGCGCTGGGTAAGGGGCCTCCCGCGCCCGCCGCGTCCCCTGGACCCCAGCCCTCCCCGCTGCCCCCCCGCCCCCCCCCAAGGCGGCCCTGACCGCCCCCGGCCCGGCCCGCAGACGCCCTGCTGCGGAAGGACGCGTGCGCCTGCCCCACGCCCTGCGCCAGCACGCGCTACGCCAAGGAGCTCTCCATGGTGCGCATCCCCAGCCGCGCCGCCGCGCGCTACCTGGCCCGGAAACACAACCGCAGCGAGGCCTACATCGCGTGAGCGGGCGGGGGGGGGGGCGGCCGGCGCGCTCCCCAACGCGAGGCACACCTGCCGCCCACCCTCGCGGGCCGGGCCGGGGCTGGCACGCACCTTCCCCGCCGTCTCCTGCGCGGAGGGGCCCTCCCTCCCTCCCGCCCTCCCGCCCGGGCAGAGTGGGCGCCTCCGCCGGCAGCGGGACCAGCGAGTGTCCATCCAGCTCTCCCGGCCTCGCTTCCCCAGGGAGAACGTGCTGGTGCTGGACATCTTCTTCGAGGCCCTCAACTACGAGACGGTGGAGCAGATGAGGGCCTACGAGGTGTCGGAGCTGCTCGGTGTGTGTGTGTCTCGCGCACGGGGTGCTCTGGGGGCGCGGAGGCCGGGCGGGGCAGGGGCCGAGCTGACCGGGGTCCGTCTCCACAGGCGACATTGGGGGCCAGATGGGGCTGTTCATCGGGGCCAGCCTGCTCACCATCCTCGAGATCCTGGACTACCTCTGCGAGGTGGGCCGGGGCCCCATGGGGCGGGGAGGCATGAGCCGGGGATCCGGGGCGGGAAGGCTGCACTGGCCACCTCCTCCCGTGCCCAGGTGCTCCGAGATAGGGTCCTGAGATACTTCTGGCACCGCAAGCGCTCCCAAAGGCACGCCAGCACCAACCTGGTAACAGCCGTCTCCCCCTGCCCTCCCCGGTGCGGGCTCACCTGGCGTCCCTGGAGGACTCGCCCCTCCTCTGACCCTGTCCCTCCTCCCGCAGCTTCAGGAAGGGCTGGGCAGCCACCAAACCCAAGCCCCCCACCTCAGCCTGGGCCCCAGGTAACACAAAACGGCCCCCTAAGGTCAGGGTGGGGGGGCAGGTCTGGCCCAGGAGGTGAAGTTCAGGGCCAGGAGGGCCGGGGCGCCAGCAGGGCGGTGGAGCGGCCCCGCCCCAGCGCTGCGGTCTCTTCCCCAGGCCCCCCACCCCTCCCTGTGCTGTCACCAAGACGCTCTCTGCCTCCCACCGCACCTGCTACCTGGTCACGCGGCTCTAGCGCCCATGACTGTGCCCGGGCCACACCTGCGCGCCCCGGACGTGACTGGCCTGCCTGGCCTTGCCACCTTCACCTTAAATAAAGTTCTGGTGCGTCAGCCTCGGGTGCTCCTCTTAGAGGCAAGACCGCGGGCCAAGGCCAGCAGCTCAAGGCCGGGGCCCAGGGCCGTCACCCGAGACAGGCGTGGCGGCGGGCGGGGCCTCGCGGAGGGGCGGGGCCAGGGGCTCCTGGGGTGCACAACAGCGGGAGGCGCCCGGTGAGGCCCCAGGAGCCCCTGCTGCGCCGGCGCGGACGGCAAACCCAAGCGCTGGGGCAGGCTCGGAGCCCGGAGGAGACAGGCCCGTTCCTCGGGAACACACGCCGCAGCCCGCCCCAGCAGCCGCCCGTGGCTCCCCACAAACAGCTCCTCTCCCCAGGAGCAGGCGGCCCCCGCTGGAGGCGGGGGCGGGAGGGCCCCCCCCACACCCCACTCCTGCCAGCAGGGCACACCCAGGCCCAAGCCCATCTTCTTGGCTACCCCACGCCCCAAATGTTGGAAAACCAGCGAGAGGCCTGTTCCTGACGTAACCCCAGCTTTGGGTCTCCCAGCCCCAGGCGGTGCGCATGGGGGTGAGGTAGGGACACAGGCAGCCCCCGGGAAGGCCCCGCACTTCCCAGTCCCTCTGGGGAAGCCCATGCCGGTCTTGCCTGCCCAGCCCCCGTGACCGTCCCCTGCGCGGCGGGGCAAGGGGAGAGCATGGGCGCAGCTGCAGCCGCCCAGCCCCAGGCTGAGAGCCGCGGGCTCCAGGCGCCTCGGGTCACTCAGACGACGGGAAGTCGGCCGCGTGGGTCTGAGCCGGGCGCAGGACCGTGGGCGTAAGACCCCTGCCCCCAGAACCCACCCGTCCAGAGCACTCATGCGCCAGCCAGGCTGTGGGAAAGGAGCCAATTTATGAAATTAAATAAAGTCCAGGGGGAGTCGGCCCGTGAGCGAGGGCCCTGGGCCCGGGCCCAGCACAGCTGGGGCTCAGCGCACGGCATCCCCGCTTTGCCTCCCCTCCCAGGAGGGGCTTCAACCAACCAGGCCCCAGCCTGGCAGCCAGGGTTCCAGAGCCTAGGGGGGACAGAAGTCGGAGAAATAGGGGTGCTGCAGGGCCTCCTCTGCCGAGATGCGCTGGACAGGGTTGCACTTCAGGAGGTTCTGGGGGGCAGAGAAAAGGGGGGTCGTCAGAGTCCCCGGACATGTGTCCCTAACCCACCCTCCACCCTGCCCTCGCTCACCTGTAGCAAGTCCCTCCCCGTGGCATTGAGCTTGGGCACGACGTTCACCAGGGACGTGGTGGCTGGGTACATCGGGTAGGGCTGGGGGGGCGGGGGGAGATTCAGGCCAGGGCGCGGGGGCAGGGAGGCCGTCAGGGCCAGGAAACGAGGGGCCCTGATGAATGCCCCGACCCGCCGGCGCACCTTGTAATCCGGCAGCTTGGTCATGGCAGGCCACTGCTCCTCCGTGGGCGTCCCCAGCAGCGTGTCCAGGGGGTCAAGGGCCACTTAGGTGGAAAGGGACGGGGGTGGCTCTTCCCCTCCCAGGCCATTCTTCATACCCACCCACCCTCCTCACTTACCCGGCCCCTGGAGCGGTGGACAGTGGGCCAGGCGCTTTACAGACAGGCACCATGAGCCCAAACCGGCATCGGTGGCAGCGAGCCTGCCCGCCTGCCCTTCCTGCATGAGCCGCCCTCCTGCCCGCGTGTGGGCATCCTCGGGGGCCACTGCTCAGCGGGAGCAGATCCTCTTGGCTCTGTCCCCCCATGTGCCCTCCAAGCCTACCGGCTCCGCCCTCCAGCTGCAGGGTGCGCCTGCCTGTGACAACCGGGGGTGTCCACCACTCTCTGCTCTCAGTCCCTCGCTCTTGGGGGGGCACTGCAGCCCACCCACTCCTGCAGCAGCCCCCAGGGCGCCCCCCGCCCAACAGCGCTCCGGGGGCTTGGGCAGAGGGGCCGGGAGGATATCGGAAGATCCTCTTCAGCTGGTCGTCCACGTCGTTGCCAGGGAAGAGCGGCCGCCCAGCGTTGGCCAGCTCTAGAGAGAGACGGGGTAAGCGGAGGAGACACATGAGGAAGCCCTCACACCCCTGGGTGCTGCAGCCTGTACCCTCCTCCCCTCCTGGGCTCCCTCTCCCTTCCCCAAAGAGGGCCCTCCAGACCCTGTCTGCCCACTCAGTGGGAGAGAAAGCACCCCAGGCCCCACCACGTCACCTGCGAAGATGCAGCCGGCTGACCACATGTCGATGGACGTGGAGTACAGCTTGGCCCCAAAGAGGACATCCGGTGGGCGGTACCAGAGCGTGACCACCTGGGGAAAACCCCACCCACACTTACAGGGCTGGGTAGGAGGGGGCTCAGAGAACAGAGGAAAAGAATGTTTGGGGCCTGGAGGAGCAGCTGAGATGCTCGCTGGGGACTCCCCACACCCCAGAGCCCGTCCCCGCTCACCTCAGCCGAGTAACAGCGCACAGGGATGCCAAAGGCTCGAGCCAGGCCGAAGTCTGCCAATTTCAGCTCCCCGTTCTGCGCGGAGAAGGGAGGGACAGGCAAAAGGGCTTCGCCCACCGCAGGGCAGCAGCCTCCCCGCTCCACTGTCCAGCCCTCAGCTGACGGCTCTTGGTTCCAGCCACCCCACACCCCACTTCCCACCCTCTCCCGGAGACGCACCCTGTTTATGAGCAGGTTCTGGGGCTTCAGGTCCCTGTGCAGCACGTTGCGGCTGTGACAGAAGCCCAGGCCTTTCAGCAGCTGGAAGAGGAATGACTGGGGGGGGGGTTCACACCCTCTGGAGAGGAGGCTGTGCTGGAGCGGCCCCTGCTGCCGCTTACCCTCTGCTTAGCCTCGAAACTCCACCCAAAGCCCACCCCCAGCACCCAGCTCGGCCTGCCATCACTCGTTCACCGCCACGCTCAGGGTGACATCGCTAGGTCAGCTCCAAGGACCCCTTCTGCACTGCGCTAGGCGCTCGAGGAAAATGGCAAAGGGGCTCTGGCCCCCACCTTTCCGGAACGTCCCTGGCCTCGCTGGCCACACACACAGCAGCCCTCAGCACCTACACTGTGCTCTATCATTATCCGGCCTTTACTTCCCCCGGAACTGGGACAAGGCACTCGGTCCTGGGCCTCAACAGCCCCAGGCGCAAGGCAAAGCGGCCACAAGTGCTTTTGGAGGGAATGAAGGACCCTTGGGAACCTCACTCGCTCACCTCTCAAGGGTAAGTCACGTAGTGACCTGGCAGCGTTACCGTCAGGCCAAAGAGATCACGGAAAACGCTGGCTCAGGTGGGGCTTCTTGAGGGCAGGGGCAGGGTTTGCTCCTCCCCCTGACACCCCAGAGCGTCCCTGTTCATGGCCTCAACTTGCACCCCAAAGCTGAAGGCAGACCCCAACCCCGGCCTCAATGGGTCCCCTGGGCCCCAGGCCGCTCACCTTCACAATTTCAGAGTCTAGGTCACCGTTGCAGCTGTCAAAATACTTCTTAAGGTCCTACACAGGGACAGGGTGGGGGTACGGGACAGAGTTTATGGGGCCCTCGGTCTGGGCCCCTCTACCCTCCTCCCAAGGCTGCTATCCCCAAGCCCCTTTCACCTGGTCGCAGAACTCAAACACCAGAGTCAGCTTCTTGTCGCTGTGCAGGACATCGTGCAGCCTGGGGGAAGAGGGGCTCAGCCAGGCAGGTCCGCACGCCTGGGACTCCACCCCAGTGTCAGCCCAGCCCACCTCCAGGGCTCCCACCTCCGGCTGACCACACACATGGGGGGGCCTGGCGGCTACGCACCTGACGATGTTCTTGTGCTTCAGCTCTTTGAGTAGGCAGATTTCGCGGAGGGCAGAACTTGGCACTCCCTACACACGGGAGGGGCCGGGCAGCAAGAGTCACATCCCACCCAGCCTAGGCCCCGGAGCCCCTGCCGGCCGCTGTCCCAGCCTACCTCATCATCGTCATCCAGCCTCACTCTTTTCAGAGCCACGATCTCATGGGTCTCCCGGTTTTTGGCCTTGAACACTGTTCCATAGGTGCCTAGAAGGAGGTCGGGGTTGAGGAGCAGGATGGGGCACCCTTCCCCCCTCTGGGCCGTCCCCCTGGGGAGAGTTATTTCTGACGCGTGGAGGAGTAAGGCAGGAGATTGAAAACCAAGGCCCGGCCTCCTGGAGGAGCTCTGTGGGGGCGTGAGGACGCGGCGGTGAAAGCGCCTGCGGATGGCCCAAGGGAGGGCGTGTGCTGCGGGGAAGGCTGCTGCAGCCGGGCTGGAAGGTCTAGAATAAAGGCGGCGCTTCCGAAGGGTCTGGAGAGGCGCGCAGGGTCTGGGAGAGGAGGGTCGGCAGGGGTGTTGCGGCCGGAGGTCGGCTGCGAGAACTGCGGGCGGGGCGGGCAATGCAGGAAGTGCTGAGGTCGGAAGGCCCGGCGGAGGCTGGGAGGGGGTCTGCAGGAAGAGCTAGCGGGGAGGACGGTGTCTGCACGGAGGGCTACGCTCGGGCCAGGGCTGCAGCCGGGGCTGAGTCGGAGTCTGCTGGGGACTGAGGACGGTGGGCGGACGAGGCAGGGCTGCAGGCAACGCTGAAGGGTCTGCAACGGAAGCTCTTGCAGGAACACCTCGCGGCCCCATTACCTTCCCCAATCTTCTCCAGTTTCTCGTATTTCTGCATAGCGGCGGCCGCGGGGACCCCTGCGGGCCCTCGGTCCTAAGACTCCGGCCGCGGCGTTGCAGAGGAGGCGGGACCCCAGCCTCCAGTCCTGCCCCTCCCTCTTGCCTGCGCATGGGCTTCTGGGGCTTGTAGTCTTAGGACGGCTACGTTCCCCAGGAGTGCCCGAGATCGTACGCCGCAGAGACTACAAGCCCCGGCAGGCTGCGCCCCGGGGCTCTGCAGCACTCGATTCCCGGGGCTCCGCGTCCAGCGCGGAGGCGAGCCCTGGACTTCAAGTCCCAGGAAGCCCCGCGCGTCCGCTTCCGGGCGGCGCCGGCCCCCGCGCGCCCCGCTGCCGTCACGCCCGGGAGCGCGGCTTCTCCCGGGCCGGGGCTCCGCGCCCCGAGGCGGCCGGGCCCTGAGCGGCTGCGGCTGCCGAGCCACCCGAGGCCGCCTGGCCGTCCCGGCGCGGCGGCCCCCTCCCCCGGGCCCCCCAGCGACCCCCAGGCCGGCCGGGGAGGGCGCGGGGCGCGGGGCCGCGTCTCCCGCGGGCGGCTCTGCGGACCCGGTGCCCCGGGCTGGGGAGAGGCGGGGGACCCCCCGAGGCCGGGTTCACCACGCCAGAGCCCCGCCCCCTCGCCCCCGCCCGCCGTCTCGGAGCTCGGCTCCGGCCGCCAGTGGCGCCGACCCCCGGGGCCGGGAGCCCCCCAGCACGGACCCCGCCCGCCGGGTGTGGCCGGGGCGGCCGCCGCCCCCCGGGGGACGCGCGGGCAGAAGCTGCGCTCGCGGCGGCCCGACCTCGCCCGGCGCGGGGGACTGAGCCCTGTCATCAGCCTGGGCGCCCGGGCTGCGGTCCCGAGGCCGCGCGCCGGGCCGGGCGGGGTTCATTACCCGCGGGCGGCGCCCCGATTTCGGCGGCGCGGGCCCCGCCCGGCGGCGGCCCGAGGAGGGCGGGGCGCGCCCCCTGTCCGGGTCACGTAGCGGGGAAGCGGAGCCACAGCTGGGGCGACAGGCGGCGGTGGGAGGGGGTCCCCCCGAGGCCGGGGGCCGGGGGCGGGGCACCGCGGGGGACCGGGCAGGGCAGAGTCGGCCCGGGGCAAACGGCACCCGACCTCCAGGCGCTTTCAGGGCGCTTTCAGGGCGCGGGGGCGTCCTGTGGGGCGGGGGCGAGCCTGGATCCCGCCGCGGCTGCACGTCGGCGCCCTCCCGCCCGAGCCGCCCGGTCCCCCGAGCCGCCCGGTCCCCGCGCGGGGCGGGCGCCTTCCGCCGGGGATGCCCGCGGGCCCGGGAGAGGCGTCCCCGCGCGCCCCAGTCCCGGCGGGGAGCCCGGCGGCGGCCTCGCGGGGCCGGGCGGCGGGACGGCGCGGGCCGGGGCGGGCCGGGCCTGCGCGCGCCCCCGCCGGGTCTCGCCCCGCTCCCGCCTCCCGCGGGGCCGCGCACGGCGCGCGGGGGGCGCGCACGCAGGGGGCTGGCCGGCGCGGCGCGGGGGAAAGTTGAGTTGGGAGAAGTTGGGAGCGGCGGGCGCGCGCCCCGAGGTGGGCACCGGGGAGTCGTCGGGAGCGCGCGAGGGCGCCTGGGCGCGGGGAGCGACCCCGAGACCCCCGGGGCGCGGAGTCCGGAGCGAGCGGGTGAGCGGCGGGGCGGCGGCGGGAGGCCGGGGGGGAGGGGAGAGGAGGCGGGAGGAGGGGGACGCGGGCGCGGCGGGAGGGGTGGAAGTGGAGGAAGGGCGGGGACGCGAGGTCTGGGGCGCGAGATGCCGCGGGGAGCGAGGAGCTGGTAGTCGGCGGAGTCTGGGCCCCCGAGGGCGAGCGGGCCGCGCCCCTGCCCCCCAGGGGTGGCCTCGCGGGGCGCCGCCGGCCCCCAGCCCGCGGGTGGCTCCAGACGACGCCCCCCGCGACCCCCCACTCGGCCCTTCCGGGTCGCTGGGCGCCCAGCCGGGGCTGCCCCGGGCCGGGAGGGGGCCGGGAGGGGGGCCGGGCCAGGTCGGGCCGCGGGTCGGGCCGCAGACCGCGGCGCGCGGGGATGGGAGACCGGCCGGTCGGCGGCCTGGGCCCTCCGGCGCGGGGGCGGCGCTGCCCGCCCCGGGTCCCGCCCGCGCCTCCCCCGCCGGCCCGGGAGAGCCTTGGAATGCGCGCGCTCCCCGCGGGGCTCCTGCCCAGGTGGGGGGCGAAGGTGCTAATCCCGGCCGGGAGAGATGCTAATCCTCGGGCCGGTCGGGGCTGGCCCCGGGAATGCGCCCCCACCCCGGATTATCTGCGGGCGCCGGGACAGAAGTTGCTTTGTGCGCGGAGCCGCGGGGAGGGGGGGGAAGAGGGGCTGGAGGCCGCGGAGGGCGCCCGGTGGAGGTGGGACGGGCACCTGCCGGCACTGGGGCTCCCACACCCTTCCCGGCCAGGCCCGGCCGCGCCGCCGACCCCTCACCCGCGCCAGACGGGCCCTGGCCCAGGGCCTGCGGGGGGAGGCGAAGGGAGCAGTCAGCTGAGCCGCAGCGGCTGCCAGGAATGTGTCACTCCTGCTCCCCACCCTGCGCGGCCCCCCGGCCGGTGTGGTTTGATCGCCGCCGACCTGTCTCCCCGAGCTAGCCGCGGCCCTGCGGCCCAGCGGCCCCCCAGCTTCAGCCTCTCAGAGTCATGACTGCCCCTGCGCGTCCCCGCTGCATGTGGGGACCCCGATCTACACGGGCGTGCTCCCTGGCCACTGCTCTTCCCCACCTCCACCGTCCTGCCCACACCCCTGGCCTGTAGTCATGGTCAGGAGGGTATCAGCCCTGCCGCTCAGATTTTCCTGCCCCACACGGGGGGAAGGACCCCCCCATGGGTTTGTGTCCACCCTCCTCCCAGTCGGCAGGTGCCCCTCCCCCATGACAAAGCGCTGCCCCAGCCCTGCCTGGGTCCCTGCCCTCCCCCCAGTGAGGGCTCCTGCCCTCCCCCAGGAAGCCTACTTCCCTCCCCTGCCAGCGGTCATCAGGACAGGCGCAGTCACGCACCCCCTTCCCGGGCCGCGTCTCTGGAGGCCCCCTGGCTTGCTGTCCAGGGCTCCTTGCTCTTCCTCCCCCATCTCTGCTCCCCAGCACACCCTCTCTGGTGTCAGCTCCCTCCTGTGCCACCAGCGGGTCAGCACTCCTGTTCCCGGCTCAGCCTGTCCCTCCCTCCCTCCCTCCCTCCCTCCCTCCGTCCCTCCGTCCCTCCCTGCTGCTGCTGCTGCTGGCCTCCAGGTTTCAGCCTTGACTCCTTTCTCGCCCCCCCCTTGCAGCCTCTCCCACTTTCTGCTCTCTCCTCACTCTGTCCAGTCTCCCGGCCTCCCGTTGGCCCTCTGCGGCCTCCTCGGCCCCACTCCCTGTCTCTTTATTCTTCCTTTTTCTTCCTTTTTCTTCCTATTAATAACTCTCCCCTTTGCTCTGGCCACCCTCAAGGGCCACTGGAGGGCCCTCCATCGCCCGGAGGCTCCTGCCCAGCGAGGAGAGCCCTCTTGGCAGGCGGCCTGCCCCGGAGCCTGGGCCAGGGGGCTGCGCCATGCCGGGGCCAGGGCACCCGGCTCTCAGGCGGTGACCAGACCTCTCCCCCACCCCCCCAGGTTATGCCTCCGCCTTGTTGCCCTGAAAGCCGCAGCGACAGCGAAAAAGGCTAAGATTTGGCCATGAGCAGCGGGCCCCGGCACCCCGCCGCGGGCGCAGATTCCTTCCGAACTGTGAGTATGGCCCGGCCCCTCCCCAGGCCACAGGTGTTCTTGGCCGAGGGTCCCACCCGAGCAGGGCGAGTGTCCCTGGAGAGCCCCGGGAGGGGTGGCGGCACTGCACTGGGGGGGTGCACCATCCCTGCCGGCCTGGCCTGGCCTGGATGGGGCTGGGGTCCGGGATGGGTACTGGGTGGGCGCTCGGTGGGCTTCCACTCCGGCAGGGAGTTGCGGCTCCGAGGCCCTCAGGGCGGTTTGGCCTCAGAGAACTCGGGACCGGGGTCTCTAACCTGGCGACCCCACCCCTGCCAGCCTGGAGGCAGCTCTGCGCAGGGCAGCTCTGGGCCTGCCCGCGGGCACCACGGCCCCGCCCCCGCCCCATGCGCCTCGCAGACCCGCCCCTCGGCCCCCACGTGGTGGCCGCCGGACTTTCCTGGGGAGTGTAATGATTAACCCTGGAGCCGCGGGGGCGGGCTGCCCCCATGGGTCACTCCGGCCAGCGGGGCACGTGACGGGGAAGGGGCGCAGCGCCCCCCCCCTCCCGAGAGCCCCGCCCGCCATGGATTTCCTCCTGCGGCCTCAGGTGCGAGGGGTTCGCCACCCCCTCCCCCGACCCCGCTAGCGCCCCGCCTCGCTCGCCCCGGCCGCCTCCCGCGCTCGTCCTGGTGAGAGTGGGGCGAGCTCTTGGGGGAAGCCCGGCCAGACCCGCGCCGGGCTGGGGGGCCGCCCCCGCCCCCGCCTGCTCTGCGCCGCGGCCGCAGCGGTGTCCCCAGACCCACCTCCCCGCCGCCTGCCCCGCATCCTCGCTCTGCCGCGAAGGGGTTGGCTCGTACCCGCCCTTGGCGATCCCGCGCCCTTCGGGTCCAGAAGCTCTTGAGCTAATATTTGGCGGCACCCGGAGCTGAGACGGGCGGGGGTGGGGGGGAGCGGGGCCAGGCCGGCCCGGGTAGCGGGGAGCCCCCGCGGAGCGCCCCGAGTGGCCAGGCCGCCGCTCGCTCTGCAGCATGACTCAGGTGGGGGGGGGTGAGGGGCGGGGCCGGGAGCGGCGAGGGGCCCGGCTCTGGGGGCTCCCCAGCCCTGCGCATGCATCGCGGGCCCAGGCTTCCCTTCAGGGGCGCGCAGCCCAGTTCCGGTCAGTGAGCGGAAGCGCCTCCAGAAGTTACTCCTCTGGCCCGGCAGCTGTCCTGCAGCCAGCAGGAGTCCCTCGGCCCCAGCCTGTGGGCTGCCAGGGTCACACCCTGCGCGGCTGCACACCCTGGCCCTGCTGAGACTCAGGGTGGCGCGCGGTGCCCCCCCTGCCCCCCACACACCCGTGTGGCACACGCGGGCACAGGCGCGTCCCAGGCCCGAGGGCCCGCGGACAAACTGACTGTCCCCGCGGGTGGGACCCTGTCTGCGGATCTGGGGGAGTCCCACGCCCTCTCTGCTGTTTCCTTCCAGCCTGAGCCAGAGGGCTTGGGCCCCGGGACGCCTGGGTTCCCGGAGCAGGAGGAGGATGAGCTTCACCGGACCCTGGGCGTGGAGCGCTTTGAGGAGATCCTGCAGGAGGCCGGGTCTCGAGGCGGGGAGGAGCCAGGCCGCAGCTACGGAGAGGAAGACTTTGAATGTGAGGGGAGACTGGGGTGGGGAGGGAGTTCCAGCGGGAGGGGCTGTGGGCTGGGGGGGCCGGGCCTGCGCTCAGCCACGCCCCCGCGTCCCTGCAGACCACCGCCAGTCCTCCCACCACATCCACCACCCTCTGTCTACCCACCTGCCTCCGGACACGCGCCGCCGCAAGACACCCCAGGGCCCGGGACGGAAGCCTAGAAGGCGCCCTGGAGCCTCCCCCCCTGGGGAGACCCCTACCATTGAGGAGGGGGAGGAAGACGAGGATGAGACCAGCGAGGCCGAGGGAGTCCGGGCACCCGCCCAGCCGACCCCTGCCTCGACACCCTCGTCGGTGCAGGTGAGCAGGGGCAGGGCTTCTGGGGCCGTCAGGTGCAGGGTCAGCCCGGCCTCACCTGGCCCCGCGGGCCCCGTTGCAGTTCTTTCTGCAGGAGGATGAAGGTGCTGACCGGAAGGCGGAAAGGACCAGCCCGTCGCCCCCGCCCCCGCCGCCCCACCAGGAGGCAGCTCCTCGGGCCACCAAAGGAGCCCTGGCGGGGTACGTGTCGTGTCCCCCGTGGAGGCCCGCCCTGCTCTCAGCCTGGGGCTCCACTCTCAGCCCCGGCTCGCCAGCTGCTGGGACAAGCGCTGGCCTCCCTGAGCCTCCGTTTCCCGCCTCACTCCGAGCGTGATGGACGCTTCCCCACAGGGGTGTGGGGGTGGCAGCGTGGTGGGAATTAGGGCTCTGAGTATGTTTTAGCTGCACGGAACACATTTGGGGGCCTGTCCCCGCCACCTCCCCACGGAGGCTTCAGGTGGCGTGACATTGAGCCCTGACTCAGGCTCTGGACTGGTGGCCCGCAGGCACCCCCTGGGTCCAAAGGGGTGAGAACAATAGGAGACCCCCCTCCCGCTCCTGGGGAGCTGCCAGTCCCCCCTGGTTGTCATCACGTGAAATGGCACCAGAACAAGTTACTGTGCCCAGCACCACGCTCGGGCACCGTGTCAGTACCAGCAGGTGACTGCAGTTTGGGGGTGTTAGCCAGAGAAGGCTTCCTGGAGGAAATCACTTTGAGCCAGGTCTCAAGGTCACTATTATCACAGACCTGTTGTTTCTGGGTGCCAGGCAGCGTGAAGGGCGCGTTGCCCCTCCAGGGCGTGCACAGGCTGGTGTGGGGAGACGGCGGTGCTGGTGGAGCTGGGTCCACAGCGGCCGTCCGCAGGAGGGAACTGGGCGCTTCAGAGAGAGCATGGCCTTGGAAAAGTGGGTCACCCTTGTGGGCAGGGGCGCGCCGAGGCCAGGGCAGCGGGTGGCTGTAGGCGTGGACGGAGGAAGCCGGCTGGAGGGCTCTGGCGGGGACTGGGAGCCTGGGCTGCTGCCAGGGGAGGCGTTTAGAAGGACTGGCTGTGGCAGAGAGAAGGGGGCCTCCTGGTTTTGGAGGATGGGAGCAGAAGTTGGGGTCTGTAAAGGACAAGGAGTTCGGTGGGGGTGGAGGACTATAGTTTTAAAGAGTTCTTTCCCCCGGGGATCCTGCGCCCTTCGGGTTGGGGGGTGCCGGGAGGCGGGGGGAGGAGGGGCCGGGGCACAGCCTGTGTTAGGAGCAGGCAGCTTTGGGGCTTTTGCAGATGTCCCCTCCACCCCCTGGGGCCAGCCTGGGCACCATTTTGCTGCTGAGTGTTTCTTCTCTGGTGGCTTGTGCGAGGACCCGGGGGCTCGTGAGGGGCAGGGCTGGGTTTAGATGCTGCGTTCTGCTGCTGGAGTGCACGCCTTTCACACCGGCACCCAGCGCAAGTGGGGAGTTAGGGGAGTGGGTCCTGCGGGGTGCCCTTCCTTGCATCCTCCCCTGGGGTTCGTAGCCATGGGCGCAGGGCTGGTTTTCTCTGACTCGCGACAATTGTCTGTCCAGAGCCCCAGTGGAAGAGGTGGTGGCTGTGGCCAGTGGCACTGCCGGAGGTGACGATGGGGGTGCCTCGGCGCGCCCCCTGACCAAAGCCCAGCCCGGGCACCGCAGCTACAACCTGCAGGAGAGGCGGCGCATCGGGAGCATGACGGGGGTGGAGCAGGCCCTGCTGCCCCGCGTCCCCACAGATGAGAGCGAGGCCCAGACGCTGGCCACGGCCGACCTGGACCTCATGAAGAGTGAGTCTGGGCCTGAGCCAACCCGAACCCATGGGAACAGGGCCAGGAGAAGGGGGAGCCTAACTCCGACTTTACCCCCAGGTCACCGGTTTGAGGACGTCCCTGGGGTGCGGCGGCACCTGGTGCGGAAGAACGCCAAAGGGCCCTTGCAGAGTGGCCGGGAGGGGCGCGAGCCTGGCCCCACGCCCCGGGCCCGGCCTCGGGCCCCCCACAAGCCCCACGAGGTACTGATCCCTGCTTCCTGCTCCTCCTCGTCCCTGTGCCTCTTCTTCCCCCGCATCCCCCCTTCTGACCTGAGCGTCCGCTTCTCGTCTACACGCTCTCTGCTTCATCGTCAGGGCCGTGTTCTGACCGACTGGGAGGGGCTTGGGGACTTGGCACCGGGGAGGTTTGGGGGAGCAGTGTTACCGAATCTGGTGTTCTCTGCACACATGACCTGTCCTCCCACGACCTGAGAAGATGATCCCCGGTGGCACCAGCCTCACACCTGGAGCAGCGGTTGGCCAGGGTCCCTCTGTCTTAGAAGCCAGGTCCCCAAGCCACGCTCTTCCAGGGGCTTTTCTCGAGGCCTGGCAGACAGGCAGCATGTGCACCTGGGTTACGTGTCCAGCTCCATGACACAGTTCTGCACCCCCGGCTCACCCAGCCAGGGCGAGCAACTCAGCAGAGCCCCCTCTGCCTGCCCACACGGTGCCCTCGGAGGGGACCGCTGCCTTGTCTCAGCTTGCCTAGCTAATGCACAAGGGGGATCCTGTGAGTTGTGTGTGTGTGCGCGCGCACACGTGTGTACACTGTCCACCCCACGCTTTCTCCCAGTCCCCGTGACTGCCCTCCAGGGCACCAGGGAGCCTCCCATTTCTCAGACAGGGAGAGTGAGTCTCGCGCGGCCTGCTTAGTAACTGACCCCGGCTCCTGCCTGGGCGCTGGCTCGGGCCATCTGGGGTCTGCGGCCCCGTCCTGACTTCTCTCGGGGACCCCCGGGCTCCTCTAACCCCAGGTGTTTGTGGAGCTGAATGAGCTGCTGCTGGACAAAAACCAGGAGCCGCAATGGCGGGAAACGGCGCGCTGGATCAAGTTTGAGGAGGACGTGGAGGAGGAGACGGAGCGCTGGGGGAAGCCGCACGTGGCCTCGCTGTCCTTCCGCAGCCTCCTGGAGCTCCGCCGGACGCTGGCCCACGGTGACTGCGCGCTCTTTCCCTGCCTGGCCTCACCCCGGAACCTGCCCGCCCGTTCTCGGAGGGCCGGGTGGTCTGGCCCCCCAGTTCGTCTTGAGCCACACGGCCTGTGATGTTCGAGCCCGTGAGGGGCGGTCAGCAGCCTGCTCCTCCCAGGGTGCAGGGTGACGCGGGGCCGGGCTCTTGCCGCACCCGCAGCAGCGGTTCTGTCAGTGGTGGTTGGGTCGCTGCTGTCAGTAGGGTCAGTGCCGTGGGGCTTCTAAAGAATTTCCGTGGAAGCTTTTCTGAGATGACCTGTGGGGCTGACCCTAATGCAGGACATCTCGGCTCCACGTCCGACATTGCTGCTCTTTGCTCGTTTCCTCCTTCCCGTGGGGGAGTCACCACCAGGTGCTGTCGAAGGGCCTATTTAAGCAGCCGAGGCCCAAGGCAGCCTGCGCTCAGGGCTGATGCCACCCAGGAGCGGGCGGCCCCTGAGTGAGCCTAGCGGCTCTGGCTGAGGTGCCAGCTGTGGGCGCGGGGCCCAAGCTCTGTGGTCCTGTGGCCGCTGCTCAGGGGCCTTGGGTCCTGTTTGTTTTTCATTTCTGTGCTCCTGAATGTTGACCTTGACAACAAAGCGACCCGGTAACTGTTGAAAGGACTTTCCTATCTGTAGGAAGTGGTGGCTCAGAGCGGTGCCAGGTGGGGAGAGGCCTGGGGACGCTCTGAGCCGCCTTCAGATTTGGGGAGCCCAGGTGGAGAGGGAAGCCTGCAGGCGGCCAGGATCCCAGACCAGCTGCGTCACTCTTGAGGGCAGAACAGGGGCAACAGTGGACACCGGGTGAAGAACCTTCACCCGTGAAGAGGAAGAACATTCTAGCAAAGAGTAGTTCAGCCTGAGTAGGAGGCTGCGTGTCCCTGGAAGGTGGCCTGGAGAGACCTAGGGTTCTGAGGCCTCTGCTGAGCCGGGCAGCATCTCTGGAGGGAGGGTGCAGGTTGCAAAGGCGATGGGACGTGGCCAAGGCAGAGTGGCCCCCGAGGTGGTTCTTGGGTTCCGGGGCCAGAGTGCCTTTGTGGATGTGCAGACCCAGAGGCCCCTTCTCCTGGCTCTCCCTGCTCCCACCCTGGCTTGGCCTGTTGCCCCGGGGATGAGGGCCTCTCCATGCTATCCGTATTCCAGGGGCTGTGCTCTTGGACCTGGACCAGCAGACTCTGCCCGGAGTGGCCCACCAGGTGGTGGAGCAGATGGTCATCTCCGACCAGATCAAAGCCGAGGACAGAGCCAACGTGCTGCGGGCCCTGCTGCTGAAACACAGGTGAGCCCCGCCCGCTGCAGGCTGCCTGCTGCCCCCAGCTGCCCCCTCACCGTGCTGCCCTCTGCCCCACCAGCCACCCAAGTGACGAGAAGGACTTCTCCTTCCCCCGCAACATCTCGGCCGGCTCCCTGGGCTCCCTGCTGGGGCACCACCATGGCCAGGGGCCCGAGAGCGACCCGCATGTCACCGAGCCTCTCATTGGCGGTGTGCCCGAGACCCGGCTGGAGATGGAGCGAGAGGTGAGGGACAAGGGCCCCGCCTGGCCAGGAGTGCAGGCCAGCGCCACGTGAGCATGTGGGAGGCGGTGGGGGGGCGGCGGGTGGCCCGGCTGAGCACCCTTCCTCCTGCCGCGTCCCCAGCGCGAGCTGCCACCGCCCGCACCCCCAGCCGGCATCACCCGCTCAAAGTCCAAGCACGAGCTGAAGCTGCTGGAGAAGATCCCCGAGAACGCAGAGGCCACGGTGGTGCTTGTGGGTATGTGGGGGCGCCGGCCGCCTCGGTGCCGCCCCTGGGCTGGGGGTTGGGGGGCCGCCTGCGCCCTGCCCTGGCCCACCCGGTCCCTCGCCCTCAGGCTGCGTGGAGTTCCTGTCCCGCCCCACTATGGCCTTCGTGCGGCTGCGGGAGGCGGTGGAGCTGGACGCGGTGCTGGAGGTGCCGGTGCCCGTGCGCTTCCTCTTCCTGCTGCTGGGCCCGAGCAGCGCCAACATGGACTACCACGAGATCGGCCGCTCCATCTCCACGCTCATGTCCGACAAGGTGCGCCCCTCCCTGCGCCCCGCTCTGGGCCCCGCAGCCTGCGGCCCATGCCCTCACGTGCTCCGTCCCTCTCTGGCAGCAATTCCATGAGGCGGCCTACCTGGCCGACGAGCGGGAGGACCTGCTGACGGCCATCAACGCCTTCCTGGACTGCAGTGTGGTGCTGCCGCCCTCCGAGGTGCAGGGCGAGGAGCTGCTGCGCTCCGTCGCGCACTTCCAGCGCCAGATGCTCAAGAAGCGGGAGGAGCAGGGCCGCCTGCTGCCCACAGGGGCTGGGCTGGAGCCCAAGTCGGCCCAAGATAAGGGTACGGGCCAGTGCAGCCTGGGGGCTGGGGTGGGGGGTCGAGTGCAGACGAGAGCAGGGGCGCGTGGGGAGGGCGCGAGGGCCGGGCGCCCTGACCAAGGCTGGACTGCAGCGCTCCTGCAGATGGTAGAGGCAGCAGGGGCAGTGGAAGACGATGATCCCCTGCGGCGGACGGGCCGGCCCTTCGGGGGGCTGATCCGAGATGTGCAGCGCCGCTACCCCCACTACCTGAGCGACTTTCGGGACGCCCTCGACCCCCAGTGCCTGGCCGCTGTCATCTTCATCTATTTTGCCGCTCTGTCTCCTGCCATCACTTTTGGGGGGCTGCTGGGTAAGGAGAGGCTTCGGTGGGGGCAAGGAGGGCGCCTGCTCTGGATACCTGTCCTGGCTCCTGAACTGGAACCTGCACCCCTCAGGAGAGAAGACGCAGGACCTAATTGGGGTGTCAGAGCTAATCATGTCCACGGCGATCCAGGGCGTGATCTTCTGCCTGCTGGGCGCCCAGCCGCTGCTGGTGATCGGCTTCTCGGGGCCCCTGCTGGTCTTCGAGGAGGCCTTCTTCTCGGTGAGGCCCCTCTTCCTCCACTCAACCCCCCCGCCCCCCCAGGCCCCGAGCCCTGGGCCTGACAGAGCCCCTCACGCCCCCAGTTCTGCAACAGCAACAACCTGGAGTACCTGGTGGGCCGTGTGTGGATCGGCTTCTGGCTGGTGCTCCTCGCCCTGCTGATGGTGGCTCTGGAGGGCAGCTTCCTGGTGCGCTTCGTGTCCCGCTTCACCCAGGAGATCTTCGCCTTCCTCATCTCCCTCATCTTCATCTACGAGACCTTCTACAAGCTGGTTAAGGTGGGCAGGCTGCCCCCGCTGGGCCGGGATGGGCACGGCTTCGGCACTGAAGGGAGCTGGGCAGCCGGTTCCTCTTGTTCTCCCCACTGGATGTGAGGCCACACTGGCCCCGAGCACCCCGCTCGGGGCTTGGCGCTAGCACGGCTTCTGGTCACGCGTCAAAACTCACGTCAGTTTAATAGCAGAGCAACAGCGCTTTTCCTCTAGCGCCGAACAGTGACGTGGGCAGAAAGGGAGCATCGAGGGGGCGGCCGCGGCCGCGCTCTGGCATCGGGGCCCTGGCCCGGAGCTGGTCTCCAGCCACCTCCCTGAATCACACCAGCCCCTCGACCCTGGAGCACCCCGAGCTCGCGTGTGGGCCCCTGGGTCGTCTCCTTCAGCGTGACGGCTTCTGGAGGAAGCGCTTAACACGGCTGAGCCCCCGAAGCCTGCCGCTCAGCTGACGGTGCCTTGTTGTCTGCCCAGATCTTCCAGGAGCACCCCCTCCACGGTTGTTCAGCGGTCAACACCTCTGAGGTGGAGAGCGGCGGCGGCAGCAGCGAGAACACCACATGGGCTGGGACCGAGGCCATGCCCGGCCTGCGCAACGGGAGCTGGGCCAGGCCCACTGGGCAGGGGAGGCCCCTGGACCAGCCCAACACCGCGCTGCTGTCCCTGGTGCTCATGGCCGGCACCTTCTTCATCGCCTTCTTCCTGCGCAAGTTCAAGAACAGCCGCTTCTTCCCTGGCCGTGTGCGTGGCTGGGAGGCCGGAGGGGGGTGGGAGCTGGGGCCGGGAAGGGGGTGACAGGGAGTCAGGGTGGAACGAGAAGGGAGGCCCCTGAGCCCGGTGCACGCCCACAGGTGCGGCGGGTGATTGGGGACTTTGGGGTGCCCATCGCGATCCTCATCATGGTGCTCGTGGATTACAGTATTGAGGACACCTACACCCAGGTAAGTGGCGCAGATGCAGAGTGGGGCAGGTGCTGCCCAGGGAGTGGCTCTGGACAGCCCCCTCAGGCTCCCCAAACTGAGCCGCCTCTTAGCTGGGCAGACACCAGGCCTTTCCCCAGCGCCTCCTCAACCTTCACCCTGCCTGGCACAGCTGGGGGGCTCCTTCCGAGGCTCACCCGCCCCCCTCTTTGCCCTGCAGAAACTGAGTGTGCCCAGTGGGTTCTCGGTGACGGCCCCAGAAAAACGGGGCTGGGTCATCAATCCCCTGGGGGAGAACAGTGCCTTCCCCGTGTGGATGATGGTCGCCAGCTTGCTGCCCGCCATTCTGGTCTTCATCCTCATCTTCATGGAGACGCAGATCACCACGTGAGTGGTCCCAGCCTTGGGGGCTGCGTGGACAACAAGGACCTGGTGCGTGGAGGGGCCAAACCCAAGCCAGGCTGGAGGACCCCACCGGCAGGGTGCCAGGCTGGCTGCTGGCTTATTTTGTCGGCAGAACACCCTGGTGTTGGCTAGGAGGTCCAATGTGGGCGGGGAGCTGTGCTGGAGGACAGGTGGGTGGGTGGACACTGTGGACAGGGCTGAGGCTTCAGCTCAGGAAGGGATGCTCATCCTGAGGGAGGGGCAGGGCATGCCAGGCTCCAGACACGGGCACGCGGGCCCTGGGGCGAGCCGGCTGCCCTCCGCGGCCGGGCTGGGACTCAGCGAGCGCTGCCCGCCAGGCTGATCATCTCCAAGAAGGAGCGCATGCTGCAGAAGGGCTCCGGCTTCCACCTGGACTTGCTGCTCATTGTGGCCATGGGTGGCATCTGTGCCCTCTTCGGCCTGCCCTGGCTGGCAGCGGCCACCGTGCGCTCCGTCACTCATGCCAACGCGCTCACTGTCATGAGCAAGGCCGTGGCGCCCGGGGACAAGCCCAAGATCCAGGAGGTCAAGGAGCAGCGGGTGACAGGACTGTTGGTTGCCCTGCTCGTGGGTATGTCTGCCTCGCGCCCTCGCCCTTCCCAGCGGGTCCCGCGCAGAGCCCTGTGGCCAGCGCGCTTTTCCTGCCCACAGGCCTCTCCATGGTTATCGGGGACCTGCTCCGGCAGATCCCCCTTGCTGTGCTCTTCGGGATTTTCCTGTACATGGGCGTCACTTCCCTCAACGGGATCCAGTTCTACGAGCGGCTGCACTTGCTGCTCATGCCGGCCAAACACCACCCGGACGTCACCTATGTTAAGAAGGTGAGACCCTGCCCTCCAGCCCCCCACCGCCGCCCGCCAGCCTCCACACTGGGTGCGCCGCCAGGCAGGCCCCCTGCAGTCTGCTTGCCGGGAAGGAGGCGCCCCTCGGGTGCCGGCCCCGGCTCATCTCTGCTCCGCCCCAGGTTCGGACCCTCCGGATGCACCTGTTCACGGCCCTGCAGCTGCTCTGCCTGGCGCTGCTCTGGGCTGTCATGTCCACAGCAGCCTCCCTGGCCTTCCCCTTCATCCTCATCCTCACAGTGCCGCTCCGCATGGCGGTGCTCACCCGCATCTTCACGGAGCGAGAGATGAAATGTGTAAGGCCTGCCCCCCCCCCGCCCCCTTCCCCCTGTGGTTGTGGGACCCAGGTCTTGACTCGGCCCCCCCGCAGCTGGATGCGAACGAGGCGGAGCCGGTGTTCGACGAGCGAGAGGGCGTGGACGAGTACAACGAGATGCCGATGCCCGTGTAGCCGGAGGACGGACGGACAGAGGGAACAGGGGCTGGGGCGCCCTCCCCACCCCGCCCTCGTTTTTATTTAAATGAATAATTTAAAGCCCCTTACACTCTCCTCCCCACCCTGTAGTAAAGTGCTTCGGCCCCCACCCGACCCCGCCTTCTGTCTCTGTGGGGTGAGAGGGCACGAATGGGAAAGTGGGGCTCCCGGGCTCCCGATCCCAGAAACGAGCTGCGTGGTGGGGCAGGAAAGGGCCTTTAATGCAAAACCCAAACGAGGAAGCCAAAGTGCAAATCGTCCACCCCCCATAGGGGAGCCATCCTGAACCCCCTGTGGCCCCTCACCCCCCTTCAGGCCCCCAGCGGAGGCCCAGCGCCTGGAGCTTCTGCCGCAGGTAGCTCTTGAGCTGGGGCAGGCCTCTCTGGGACTCCAGTTCCTCGAAGGGCAGCTGCAGGGAGAGGGCCGCAGGTGACCGCGGGCCGGGCGGGGCGCGTGGGGCTGCACGGGCGGGGCGGGTGCGCTCACCGGCAGGAGCTGGTAGCCCATCAGGCCCAGGTGCCGCTCCCGCAGGGCCCGGGAGCCCAGCAGGACCCGGCCGTCGCGGCAGAAGTGCCAGCGCTCCCGCAGCATCAGCACCACCCTGGGGACAGCGGCGGACAGCGGCTCAGGGCCTGGGCCCGCGCAGGGGAGGCCCCCCGCCCACCTCCCTTACCTCTGGGCGGGGTCGCTGGTGGTGGGCTGGGAGGCAGCGGGGCCCTGGGGACAGGGCCTGGGAGGGTAGGGTAGGAAGGGGTCCTGGGTCCTCACGGGAAGCACCGCGCCCGAGCTGCTGACGCACAGCAGGAAGTCTGGAGGGGAGAGAGGGCGCTGGCTTGCGGGCCAGGCTCTGTGGAACCAGCCCGCCCGGCCGCCCCAGCTCACCTGTGCTGTAGCCAGGGGGCACCGTCAGGTCCCGGCGGTATTTCTCCTCCCCCAGCAGCTGGCGCAGCCCCTCGGCTACTATGTCCTTGTGACTGTGAGGAGAGAAGCACGGGTAGCGGCGGACCCAGGCGCCCGGGCCCAGCCGTCCCCCCCAGCCCAGCGCCCCCGGCAGGGGCTGGGCTGCCTCAAGGCCTGGCGTTACAAGGCCGAGGCTCTTCTCTGCCGCCCGCGGCCAGTCCCCCCGGCCCCAGCTGCCCCGGCCACCTGTACTTGCAGCGGGCACGGTCCGTGATGAGAGGCTGGGGGAAGATGGGCACTTGCTGCCTTCGGGGAAGGCGGGGACCCCGGTAATCGGGGAGCTCCAGCTCCACGGCCGTGTCCAGCAGGGAGAGGTAGCGCCGCACGATCAGAGCGTGAGGGGTGCCTGCGGGAAGCGGGACTGAGGCTGGCTGGGCCGCGGCCCTGCGGCCCCTCCCCGGCCCTCCCGTCCGCGTACCACTGATGTGGCTGATGAAGCCCGGGGAAAAGACAAAGTGCAGGGCTCGGAAGGGCAGGCAGCGCAGCTGGCACAGCGACATCAAGATGTTGACGGTGGCCAGCGGGGCCACCCCCGCTTCCCGAGCCAGGATCCTCTCAAGGCAGGGCATGAACTGCTGTTCCAGGGGCAAGTAGTTCAGCCGCCCGAAGGGCAGAACCAACTTCTGTACCACCTGTGGGGGAAGAGCAGCGTCAGCCCCAGCTGCAGGAAGAGCTCCCGTTTTTAATGCGAGAGGGGCTCGCCCTGCGGGCTCTGGCTTGGGTCGGCGTAAAGTTCTCTGCCCTAACGGTCTCAGCAGAAGCACCAAAGCACAAGGGCCTTGAGCCCTGTGCACTTATCAGTCACCAAACAGTGACATGGCTGTGTGTCCTGCCGAGGCCCAGAGCAGGCCTTGGTGCAGCTGAGGGCACTGTGTGCGCAGACACCAGCACAGAACCAGGTGTGTGCTGGGCAACGCGGATGGGGACGGGGTGGGGGGGGCAGAGCAGAATTGCCCCCCAGGAAGCGGCCAATCAAGCCGGACAGAGGGCTGGGCCTGCTGGAAGGGCTGAGGCTGATGGGAGAGTGGTAGGCAATCCCACCTTGCTGCTGAGCTGGGCTTCCTGGACTACCAGGAAGTGAGCAATGGTTTCCAGAAGCTGGGGCTCCCGCAAGCGGTGCCGGGCCAGGTGCTGGGCCAGGAGCACCATCACGTGGGGGGTCAGTTCCTCTGGCCTGGCCTCTGTGAAGAACAGCCTGTCACACTGGGCGCACAGGCCAGACCACCACAGTCCAGATGACCCCACCTGCGTGCTCAGCACCCCCGCCTCCTGCACCCCTCCAGCACCTGCCAGGCTGCGGATGAGATGCTGCCTCGGATGCCGCAGGAAACGGGGGCAGCTCAGAGCCGCTTCCAACCTCTGCCCACCACACAGGACAGGTTTCGGAGGGGGTGGCGGCTTCGGAGGGAGGCGGAACCTTCGCTCCTGCTCCAGGGCATGCACCAGGGGCCCATCTGCTGGGAAGCCTGAGAGGCAGAGGGTCAGAGAGGGGGCAGTCCTGGTAGCGGGAGCTGCTCTCTGTTCTCATAGGGTTTAGTTAGTGACTTCCCAGCCTTCATCTCCGTTCTCGGGGCTGGAAGGCTGGCTAGAGTGCAAGTGGCAACACTGCAGGCATGAAACGCCACGTGAACGTGAGGTATCCAAGCAGTCTGCGGGGAAGGCCTCAGACAAAGGCCAGCAAGTTCTCATCTTGTGCAATGGTGACATCGTGGTGGCTTCCTAGAGCGCTACGTTAGGAGGATCTGGGGTGCCCCTAGCCAAGCTGATCGAAGGCTGCTGAGCTGGTGATGTCGCCGTGGTTGGGGGCGGGAGCAGCAGCCAGCAGGCCGGGGAAGGGGCCACTCCTGGCAAGGCCTGGGCGCTGAGTTCTGCCAGTGATCTCAATCCTCTCTACTCTGCCACTAACACCCGCCCCCAGGCCCATCCTCACCAAGTAAGACTGCAAGGTGCAGACACACATGGATGGTGTGAATGTCAAAGGAAGGGCAGTTTCGGATGATGAGCTGACTCAAGTCCTGCAGGGTGGCCTGCTCCACAGGAGGGGGCCGTGGCCTAGACCCCAAGAGCTGGCCCAGGCGATGAAGCGCCACAGGGTAGTGGTGGGCGCGCACCTTGGTGGGGTTCTGGCCCAGCCAACGCAGCAGCTCCCCTGGGCTCCTCGCCTGTTCCAGAAGCCGCTGCAGCCCCTGCACAGGGCCTGCATGGGGGCTTCCTCCAGGGGGCCGGTCCCCCCACTTGCTGGGCCCCAGACAGCAGGGCTGTACTGGAGGGAGCAGCAGCAGGCCAGAGAGCCGGGCAGTGGAGGCCTGGGCAGAGAGCAGGACCCGGAGCATGGAGCTGGGTGATGGAGACCCTGAGGGGCGGCCCAGAAAAGGGGGTGAGGGTTTCTCCCAAGGGGAGAGAGGTCGCTAAGCTACTCCTTGCCTCACTCCCCGAAGCAAAGGGCCCGGACTCCGGGCACCCCAGACTCATGTTCACCCCTCTGCTGGTCTCCCCACCCCGCCCCTCTCTGCTTCCTTCCACTCCCGGGAAAGAGCAATCGGAATCCTGGAGCGTTGTCAGCGCCGGGCACCGTCGGGGCAACTGCACATGCACTACCCGCCCCGACGCGCCTGCCACGCCCACGGGAGGTGGGCAGCGCCGGCGCGGCCCCCGCTTCGCAGGCGGAGAGACCAAGGCCCGGGGAGGTGAGCCCCGGGTCGCAAGTCGGGTCAGTGGGCGCGCCCAGCCCGGAGCTCCGCTCGCCCCGTCGGCGGCCCCGCCACCACCTCCCCCTCCCGCAGGAGGCGGCGGCGCGGGGAGCAGCGCGGCGGGCGGGCCGGGCTCCGGGCTGGGCGCGCCCACTTACCAGCGGCGTGACCTTGGGCCAGGGGCTGCGTCTCCCGGCCGGAGCCTCCTCGCCCGTGAGGCGAGAGCGCGGCGCCCGGCTCGCGGGGCGCCCGTGGAGCGCGGGCGCGCGGCCGGCGGCGGCAGGGGTCCCCACACCCGCCCGGCCCGGGGACGCCAGGACCCCGGGGCGCGGCCGCGGCGCCTACTCCCGCCGCCCTCCCGCGGCCCGGCCCGCAAGCGCCTCCCCTACATGGCTCCCCGGGCCCCGCGCAGGTCGCTCCCTCGGTCGGTCTCGGGGCCCGGGGGCCGGGCTCCCCCCGCGGCCTCCTCATCGGCGGGCCGCCGAGTCCGCCATCTTCCCAGCAGCCCCCGGAACGCCGCCCCGTCCTCGGCCAGCACTGACGTGGCTCCCGTCGGGCCCTGCGAGCCCGGGGCGCCGCCGGCCCCGCCCCGCTTCCGGGAAGCTGCGCGCGGGGGGCGGGGCCGGCGGGGGGCGGGGCCGGCGCGGCCTGGGCTGGGGGCGCCCGGGCAGGGCCGGCAGAGCCCCCCAGGCCCTCTCCGGGGGGCAGGGCCGCGTCCCCCCCGCGGGCCCACACAGGCAGACACACAGGAGGAGGGAAAACGTCACAGTCATTTAATCCGCACGCGTTTCCGACACCCCTCCGCGCCGCCCGGCCCCTCGCCGACCGCCGGCGTCCCCGGGACCCCAAAGGGCCCAACGAGCCGTCAGGGCCGGGAGTGCTCAGGCGGGACCCCGGGACGGCCCAGGGCGGTGGCCCGGCCCTGCCCAGGGCCCAGGCAGCGACAGCAGCTGCCTGACCCCGAGGACGCCACCGTCAGCGGCCCCGGCCGGCCGGCTGCCCGCGAGCCGCGGAGGTCACAGGGCGGGGCCTCCGCCCGCCCCCGGGGCGCTCCGCAGTGCAGGGCCGGGCTCCAGGGCGGGGGGAAGAGGCAGGCCCGAGAGGCCGGCCCGGGCAGACAGCAGCTCCCACTGTGGCGTGGGGAGCAGGGTCCGGAGGGGCCCGCGACCCCCTCGCGAGCTCGCGGAGGCACTACGGGCGGTACATGGCAAAGGCCAGGAGACTGAGGAGCAGGGTGAAGCCGGCCAGGCCCAGGGTGGCGGTCAAGGGGAAGAAGGGCCGGTACTGGATCTGGCAGTACCAGAGCAGCAGCAGCAGCAGCAGCAGCAGGGGCAGCAGGAGGCTGCCTATTTCCAGCCCGGAGGGGCTTGGCTCGGACCCCGGTGGGCAGGGGGGATGTGGGGGCCCGACCCTCGTGGACACGTGGCAGTGGAGAACGCAGTTGGGAGGGAGGTGAAGGCTGCCCAGCGTCTGGGTGTCGTCTCCTAGCAGCTGCCCTTGGTAGATGAGCCGTACCTGCTGCTCCCGGCCGGGAAACTGGGTCCTGAGGAGAGAGGGACCTGGGTAAGAGAGCAGGCCTCAGGCAGTCCTGGCCCCTGGCCCCAGAAACATACTCCCCCCTCCCCGCCACCCAGCTCACAGTCTCCAAGGGGGTGCCCACCTGCCAAAGGGGAACAAGTGTGCAATTTGGAGACCTCAGTTCGCTCATCTATAAAATGAGGGGGAGTCTCACATCTCCACGGCCCCTTCCAGGTCTTCACTCCCACCCCACCCCTAAACACTTCCAGTCCTCGGCCCAGCTTACCTTTTCAGGGAGCCAATAGTGTCGTGCGGCCAGGCCCTGGCCACCTGCTCTGAATCGTTGAGGAACTTCAACCGCAGCACTAGGGGCTCTTGGGGGGAGTCCGGAGGTGATGGTGGCATTGCTGGGAGCCCCGTGCTGGGCTCAGGCTGTGCCGCCTGACCTCTGTGTCTCAGACTGGGGGTCTCGGCTCCTGGGGCCTCTCCTCTGACGCTGTCGGTGACTGCCATAGTTTCACTGTGCTGTGCTGGTGTTGGGGTCCCTGATGGCTGGGGCAGTGGGTGGGCGCCCTCCGTGGTGTGCGTTGAGAACCAGGCCAGAGCCAGCACCAGAAGGCAGGCAAGCACGGCAAAAAGGACGGTCACTTCATCACCCACCCCTTCAATCAGGGCCATGGCACCTGCCTTGCCCGCTGCACTACCGAGCTGGAGAGGCACAAATAACCCATGAGGGGTGGGCTCCCGGGTCAAGGGGTCAAGAGCCCTCCGAACTCCACAGGCTCCCGGCCCCCCCACCGCAATGCTCCCAGTCCCGGGCCCTTCACCCGGGGCAGAGCGCGGAGGCTCCTTCCCAAGCACAAATCCCGAGTCCGAACTTTGTGTCACCTGAGTTCTAGGTCGCTATCCAGCTCCCCAGATCTTTCAAACCCTCTGGGGGGGAGGGGGGGAGACCTTGACCTTCTAAGCAACCTCTCCTCTAAATCCAACCCCCACCAAACTTTACTCCAAAGCATACGTAATTCTTCGCTTTACTTCATCCCAAAGTTCATCTCCCCCCACAGCCTCTGTCGCTGAAAGGGGAGGAAATGGGCCTGGAGGCGCCCCTTCCCCCACCCCGATGCCAGCCCCCGGTGCCCCCGCCGCGGCGCCGGCTGCCGGCCCAGGCCTCCCCACCCTGAACGTCAGACTCCGCCCCGGCAATCCCGAGCTCCCGAGGGCTGCCACCCCGCGCCCCGCTCGCCCCACCTCGTGCACTCAGACCCCACCCCGCGGCGGCGCCGGCGGCCGCCCCGACCCCGCCCGCGGGCCGACCCCGGCTCCCGCCGGGCACCCAAGCCCGCCCCGCCCCCCGCCCCCCGCTCCAGCTGCCCGCCCCCGAGGCCGCGGGCGGGCGGGCGCGGGCGATCCCGGGGCGGGGCCGGGGCGGCGGGGTGGGCGCGGCCTCGGCGCGGGGACTCACCGCCCGGCGCCGCCGGCTCCATCGCGGACCCTCGGGCACTTCCGCGCGGGAGCGCCGAGGTCGCCGGCACCTGGCGCCCCCCCGCCGCCCGGCGCATTGTGGGACTTGTAGTCCGGGCGGGCGCGCCCTCCGCCCCGCGGGCTGCGGCGCTCGAGCGGGCGCGCGGGCCGGGCCGGGCGGGGCGCGCGGGGTCGGCGCGGGCGGGCTCGGAGGCCGCCCTCGCCCCCGGGCTGTCGTGGCGGCGGGGCCCGCCCGTCCTCCCTCGGCACCTGGGGCGGCTGTCGCTCCGGAAACCAACGTCAGCCGCAGCACGTCAGACTCCGGCGTTTCCAGGGGGGACTCGGGGGAGCGCGGGGGACCCCCGCCCCCCTCCGCGCTCGGGTCCGCGTGGACGCCCGAGGCGCCCTGGGGCGCCCGCAGGACCCTGCCGCGCGGAGACCGGGGTCCGGGGGCTGCCCCGGCGGACGGCAGAGCCTCCCAGCCCTCGGGGCTCCTCGGGGGCTCGGCTGCCCGGTCCCCCCGCACCCCACTTCCTGCGGTAAGGCTGAAGGAAGCGTGGACTTTGGAAGCTGGCACGGACGCTGATCCTTTGTCCTGTGCTTCACAGCCGTGTGACCTTGGATCCCTCATTAAATCTCTTTGAACCTCAGTTTCTTCGTTCTTAAAACACACTTCACCGGGCGACCGTGAGAGACACGAGGGGTTTGTTAAAGCCGCGTGCGGACCGCGTCCGGGGTCTGTCCCAGGTGGAAATTTGCTCCCCTGGGGTTAGTGCCCCCTCCACCCGCATCTGGGCTGGGAAATCCGGCCCCTAGAACGTGACTCTTCAGAGGATGTCGTGCCCCAGCCTGGCCCGGCCCGGCCAGCTAGTTTCTGTGGGGTTTCCACCCCTCCTCTGGGCTCCTGGAGCCGCAGCCTCTCACATCCTGGCCTGTATAGGTCATTCTGGAATAAAGGTGATGTGAGCCTAGTATTCAAATCCATAGCACGTGCCTGCTTGTGGGAACAAGCACTCCGAGTGTTGCCTTGGGAATGTCAGTCTGGAATTGTAACATACAGAACTAATTTCCCTCTAGTTCCTTCCCTCCCGTTCATTCAGTTACTGTGCAAACACATATTAAATGTGTACTATGTTCCCGGCACTGTGCGAGAAGCTGGCAATACCCTGGCGGATCAGACCCTACCCTCGTGGCTTATATACAAATGGGGGGGCTGGCGCGCGAGAGGGGTAGGACAGACATGGGGCCAGGCCGCCAGCATAAAAACATGTATGGGGGCTGCTGGGGCCACACATTGGATGCTTTATCCTGAGCATCTCTCCTGGGAGACACTGATGCAACTTCTTGCTGTCCATTCTAAGCTTCTAGCAGAGATGCTAGGTACCGCTTTTAGACAGTGTCCGAGCCAGGGGTTCTGTTCCACAACACACCCTCGATGTGAACTGGTGATTAGCTTGCATCTGGTTCTTTGGAAGGTACAAAAGTTTAGGAATGGGGACTGGGCAGAAACTGCGGGCAACCGTAGCCTGGGTAAGGCCCGGGCACGGCCTGGAAGCCAAATGTATGTAAGAATGACACATGCCAGCGGACATGGGGGTGGCCCTCAGGCTGGGGCCAGTGCCCTGCACATGCCACCTCTTGTGGGCTGGGGAGGTGGGCGGCCAGCAGAAGTGCAGGCAGCGCTGGCAGTGGGATATGGAGGAACTGGGACACCGAGGGACGCTCCCTGGTCCCAGAAGGCCTAGACAGAGCGGAAGATGGACGAGGGGGTGAGGACGAGGGAAATTAAGGGCAGTGTGGGCTTTGGTGATTTTTGGGTGGGGGAAAGGTAGAAGAGCCCCCCCTCTCCACCTGCTCAGTGCAGGTAAATGAGCCCTCCCCAGCCCGGCAGGGGGGCTTTCAGGAGAGCCTGGAGGAGCGCGGACTGTTCAGTGTCACATACGAGCCCTGCTGACGAAGCTCTGAAAATAGAAGCCGGGAACCCAGATTTCCAGTTTCTGTGCTGCAGCGGGCAGCGGGGAGTCCAGCGGAGGGTCAGAAAGGAACCTCGGGTGCGGGGGGCCTCCAGGATGGCCCCAGGAACGGGAGGGCCCGGCCACCCGAGATCAGCACTGCGGGCAGGGTGCCGCGGGCCGAGTGGGTGGCCCCCTGGGCCGGCCAGTCACCCAGGCTGGTCAGCGCCCCCGGGCGCAGGGCACGGCCCGGAGACCCGCCCCCCGCCCCGACCGCGCCGGGGCGAGAGCGGCGGTGGGGCCGAGGGGGCCCGGGCGGCCGCCCCTCCCCGCGGGCCTGCCGGGGCCGGGTCGCGGCCAGCGCGGCGGAAGGGCCGGCGCGGTGGGAGGGGCCGGCGGGGGGGCGCGCGGGCGGGGGCGCGCGGGGGGCGCGCGGGCGGGGGCGCGCGGGGGGCGCGCGGGCGGGGGCGCGCGGGCGGGGGCGCGCGCGGGCGGGGGCGCGGGCGGGGGCGCTGCGCGTGCGGCCGCGGGGGCGGCGGTGCGTGCGCATGACGCGGGGGGAGGGCCCGGCGCGCGCCCGGCCGTTGTTGTTGCCGCCGGAGGCTGCTGCGAGCGGCGGGATCGCGGCGCCGGGAAGCGCCGGCAGCGGCGGCCACAGCGCGCGGCTTCGCTCCCGGCCCGGCGCCCGCGCGGCCCGATGCGCTAGCCCCCCGCGGCCCGGCGTCCCGGCCCGCCCGCCCCGCGCCCGCCGCCCCGCGCGCCGCCCCGGCCCCGGCCCCGGCCCCGGCCCCGGCCCCGGCCCCGGCCCCGGCCCCGGCCGGGCCCGCCTCGGGCCCCGCGGCCCGGAGCCATGAACTTCCAGGCGGGCGGGGGGCAGAGCCCGCAGCAGCAGCCGAGCCTGGCGGCGCCGGGGGGCGGCGGCGGCGGCGCGGGGGGCGGCGGGCAGTTCGGCGGCGCGGGCGCGGGGCCCGGGGGCGGCGGCGGCCCCGCGCAGCAGCTGGCCGGGGGGCCCCCCCCGCAGTTCGCGCTCTCCAACTCGGCGGCCATCCGGGCCGAGATCCAGCGCTTCGAGTCCGTGCACCCCAACATCTACGCCATCTACGACCTGATCGAGCGCATCGAGGACCTGGCGCTGCAGAACCAGATCCGGGAGCACGTCATCTCCATCGAGGGTGAGCGCCGGCTGCGCGCGGGCGGGCGGCGGGGTCCCGGCGCGCCCGGCCGGCCACGCGGCCTGCTGCTGCGGTCGGAGGCGCCGCCGAGCCGGCGTCCGCGCTCCGCCCGGTCCGGGGGCGCCTCGGGGCTGGGCGCCGGGCCGCACGGCCGGAGGACGCGTCTTCGGCTCCGGGGCGCGAGGGCGGTGGCGCCCCGGGGCCGGGTGCCCTGGAGCCGCCGCGGCCCCGGGGCCCGGGCCAGGTGCGGCCAGGCCGGGCCGCAGAGGGTGGGCGCGGTGGAGGCCCGCGACTGGCCGGGAGGTGGGGCCTCTCGGCGCGGCCCGGCCCTGCCCCGCGCGCGCTGGGGACCCGCGCCTCCCGGGGGTGGGGGGCAGCCTTCCCCGCCAGCGCCCCGGGCCTCGAGGGTGGCGCTCGCTGCGGCCCCCTCTCCCGACGCACGCCCCCTGCGCGCTGGCCGGGCCTGGCGTGGGCCTGGGGCTCTGCGACCGCGTGGGAGGCCCGGCCTGGAGAGCTGCGCTCTGGCCAGGTCCCGCGCCCGCCAGCCCCACGGTTACTCTCCGGGGAGCCTCTGGGGAGGGGGCGCTGGCCTCTGGACGCTGACGGGGACACAGTGCCGGATGTGGGGACCGGAGCCCCAGGCCACAGCGCTGCCCAGCGCGCCTTTCTCTGGGCTCTTGGGCCCTGGGCTGGGTGGCCAAGGGGGCAGAGGAAGCTGCTGGCAGATGCCCCGCAACCCCTGGTGTGGTGGGGCGGGCTGCACCACCGCGCTCTGGTGGCACGGTGACCTTTGAGCACCCGGTGGGCAGATGGGCCTCGCCCTGGGCCATCTGCTTCCACCTCCCGCTCCGTTTGAAGAGGGACGCCCACCAGCAGGTGGTGGGTTTGGCCGCAGTGGAAATGCAAGGAGAGTTTGAGGCCTTTGGCTGACTTGGAGCTGTGAGCAGCGGCCTGTGGGCTACTTGGGCCTCACAGTGAGGGCCCCAATTCCATCTTCCTCTCTGGGGGCTCCCTCTCAGCTTTCAGAGCTCCCCATGACTGGGGAGGGAGTCTTTGGTTTCTGGAGGAGTAGAAAGCCCCATTTAGAGCTGGGGGTGGTCCTGCCCTTTTGTTGGAACATTCCAGTCTGACTTCCTTCTGCCCTTTGCCCGGCTCTTTCTCTCCTCTCTCTCTAGACTGAGTTCCTTGTGAACTAATTAAGTGTCAGAGAAAACTCATTAATGTGGATCTGAGTAGATGGCCTGAATCACCATTGTGGCTGGGGACAGGGAGATGGCATTTCTGTGAGCCCCGGGGCCCCAAGGAGAGGAGATGACCAATTTTCCTCCCAGTCTGAAGGGGGTGGGGTAGAGGGAGCCGCCATTCCCTGAAGTTTCTTGGATGGAGGAAGTAGAACTTCCCCATCAACTCCGGGATTCCCCCCCACCCCTTCTTGGAGGGTGAAGACTGGGTGGGACAATCCCAGAGGGGCGACAGGACATCCAGGATGGGCAGGAGAGGCAGGCACGGGCCGCTTTGACATCTAACTCCGGTGTCCCTTACTGAGCCCCCGGAAAGCTCGAGGCCTCCGCTGGACATTTTTGCCCTGGAGGGCGTGATTCCTGGGACACGTCGGTGTTCAGTCCTGTCTTAAACACGACAGGCAGCAGGCAGAATTCCCCCCCGCCCAGCCCGCCCCCATGACCAACTTCCCCATTGTGGTTTGGAAGTACCCCTGTTCCCACTGCCTAACTGGGAAGCCGGGCAGCGCCACGGCGGAGCCTGGGACCTGATGTCTCATTGTCAGCAGGCCCAGCTGCTCCGCGCGCAGCCCTCCTCAGCACCCCTGGCCCCGGTCTCCCTGCTCTTTCTTGGCAAAGCCTCCCACCTCCTTCCTCTTTCTCCCCCTTTTATTCCATCCTCTAGCC